TCTAAATCGACTCGTTAGCTAATTCTTCCTCGTCCTTATCGTCTTCGTCGCCTAGAGGTAGGGTTATTATAGGACCCTTACCGGCGGTACCGCTGCTCGGAGCTAGCGTATCGCCTACGTCCCTAAGGGTACAAAGACGCGCATTCTCTCGCTTAGCTTCTTAAGCCTATACTTCTAGCCTAAGCACTTCTTACTTAGCTAGAAATCGTTCGAGCCGTAGGTAGGTCGCTTCTTAGCACGCCTAGTATTCGGCTTCGTATTATTATATCGCCGCGTCGTTTTCTAATACTATAGGCGCTCCTAATGCATTATTCTACGCGTTTCCCGCGCCCGGCGCGTTCGGATCGCTTACGTTTATCTTTCGGGGTTCTATAGGCCGCTACGAAGGGTAGACGGTTTAGAACTATAAGGAAATAGATATATAGTAACGTATAGAACACCCTCTACTAATCGCCGTAGTAGAAAGTAGAACTAAACTGTGCTTTTCTTAGAATAGGGCAGAGTGTTTACTATTAACTAGGCTACGTACGGATAGCACATATGCCGAGCCGGCAACCGAGTATATCCGTACGAGCGACCGAGCTTTTCCGCGTATGCGCTAAGCAGGCTTTACGCTAGCGAGACAGCACCGCAGTGCACGTAATAACATTATATAATTGTCACATAGGCTTGCTAAGGCATAACAGGAGACTTCACTTGCTTAGGTTCTTATAATAAGAGACCGCTACTAGTCTAGTCGCTCGTAGATTATCGGTTACCTAGCAAATTTATTAGTAAAGAATAGAATCTTAAGTAATTAACTAGTCTTAGTACTCTTAGCTAGAACTACCGCCTAACTACTCGCAATTACTAGATATATAGGACTTAGAGACACTCGACGAGCTATCGGCGGTACTTAATCTAGCGCTAGTAGAAGTAGAAGGCAAGTTAGGCAACTAGCGGTTTAATAATGCTAAGACATAGTACCTTATAACTAGTGCTATCGATAGATATAAGAACTATAGCGAGAGGGCCGATTCTAGCTTTAAGAAGGGGCTATTTATAGTAGTAGTAATAGTAGTAAACCTTATCGTTATATAGGCGTAGCGGAAGGCTTATATTATAGCCGCTTCTATAAAGAACAAGCTTACTACGCTTAAAGCGGACTAGAAGATATAGTATAAGATATAAGCTTAATCTAGCTTCGATATTAATCTAAATAGTAGTTATTTAACTGCTTCGGACGACGTAGTAAAGGCTTATATTACTATTTATCCGAGGGCGAAGAAATTCCTAAAGAAGCCGCTTCTATTCTTAGTCGAGCTAGATTAGCTATTTAGCGATACTACTGCTACCGGAGAGTATATTTTATCTATAGAAGCGATACTTAATAGTCTAATTCCTCCTCTAGTATCTAATCTAGCTCCTATAATAACCGAAAGTAAGGCGGACACTCTAAAGGACGATATTTATACTCGAAAGCGGGTAATCTATAACGCTAACGTAGAAGCTAAACGTCGCCGCTTAGAGGCTTAGAACCGGATATAGTAGATAGTCGATAATATCGTAACGGCGATATATCGTATAGCGGAGATAATAGTAATACTATTACCGCTAGGGCGCGCGTTATCTCGACTAGTTTTCTTAGCGGAATTCGTCGCTAGATACGAGGAGCTTTAGGACCTAACTTTAAGGCAAAAGCGTCTATTATGTCGTAAGATAACGATAGCGGACGACGGCGATATAGTTAATATCTTCCTTAGCGTACTGCTAGACGCGTAGTAGGCTATATCGATAGCGTTAGTTAATAAGTATTTAGAGGAGTTTAAATCGTTATCCTAAGCTAAAATACTAATAGGTTAGATTAGTTAGCTATTCTCGAATATAGCTTTTTTTTAATATCTTTATATCGATAGATTTTAGTATAGTTTTAGCACTATCTGAGATTCTAATACAAAACTATATTTCTTAGCTAGAAGTTATATTATATAGATTTTCTAAGAATAGTAGGAAGTCGAGTATTATACTATAGACACGAGAAACCCTATATAAAATAGCTGCATCTAAGTAACGACTAAGATTCTTAACATTTCTATCGAATATAACGAACGTCCGCCTATTCTATAACTTCTTTATATAGTTAATCTGCCTCGTCTATCTTATTACCTACCTTATTACCTCGCTCCGCTAAGTATATCTAATATTATCGCTATATTTCTAGCGTAATAGCATCTCTTAGCCTATCTATTAGTCTTTTAATACTATTGTCTTCTTTAGCAGCGGCGGCGGCATCGTCGAATAGCCTATCGTTAGTCTCGTTAGCCTCTAGTTTAAAGTTGTCTATCGCCTTTATACCTATATCTTAGAGGATATTATAGAGGGTAGTAGTAGCGTATACTATAGCTATTTGCGAGCGAATATTATACTACGGCGCACTCTCGAAGATGCGAAAGCGTCGCTTTATTATACCGAACGTACGCTCTACTACGTTACGAAGAGAACTATAGCGTAGGTTAAATAGCTCCTTATAATCCGCTAGCTTTATCGACGATAGGAATTACTTATGTAAATAATACCTTATATCCCTATATAGCACTATATATAGCGCGTTGTTTAGATAGCTAGTATCCGCGAGATAATATCGTCCTTCCGGCGTACTAAAGCTATAATAAGACCGAGCATTGTTAAGTATATAGCCGTCGTAAGCTAACCCCTCCTATCTAGCAAGAATAAAAATAAACCTTATATTATAGTCTACTACTGCTAATACATTCTATAATAGTATGCTCTTATAGTTACGGAAGGCCGCTTATTAGTTAACTAGTACGTATACTAGTATATAAGAGCTGTCTAGCGTACTAACTGCGTCTTTAAAGAAAGGCTAGTATTTCCGACCCTTTGCTTTAATCGCTAGACTATCGTCTATACTAGCTCGAGTAACGACTACTAGATACACCTCTATTATAGCGGCTATAACCTCCTATATTACGCGTCTATAATTATTAACCGAGTAGTAGAAGGCTTCGGCTAGGTCTCGAGTATAGCTATTAGTTACAAAGGCGTATAAGAATATTACTATCTTCTATTCTTTGCTAATATACCGACCGCGCTTTAGGTATAGTTTAATAAGCTAAAATAGATATATAAACGTATCTAAATAGAAGCGTATATACCTATATAACCGTCGCGAGGCATCTTCGGTTAATAACGATACGGTAAAGGCTTCGCCTTTGTTATAGTCTAGGTATAAAGTACGTACTCTAGGTAGCTAAGAAACGGCTATTTAATATAGTAGTATCGCTAGTATTCCGAAGGTAAAGATAACGTTACGCTTAACGATCTGCTAGCGGTCGACAGTATCTATTATTGCTAACAATTATAGTAAGAAGCTCGATTTCTATATACCTCTAAGAAACCTATATCGTACGAAGCTCTCTAATTAATATACCTACCTTTTACTCTATACGTTAACTTACGCTATTCTCGTTCTATATACTACCCTTAACCTCGATTGTAACGTACGGTCGTCAATCCTATCGAAGAGCCCTTCGGAGGCTATATTTAGTGCTAAAAGCGCTACCTTAGAAGCCGCGGAGGTCTATATTCGATTAAGAAGATTGTACTTAGAAAGGGGCTATTAAATAGCCGTTATCTATAGCACACGTACCGCAATCCTATCGACAATATTCAATAATATTGAATATTGTTAAATATCGCTTAGATTACGTGCAGATTGGATTACGAAGAGGACAGGCTCTAAGTGCCACTCTCGCTGTACAATCGGATGGAGAGGACAGCCGTGTCCCGGTCAACGAATGTCAGCGTCGTGTTGTGCTGTGCGTTGCCTCGCGTGCGCCGTGCCTGTATATTCTCAGAGTCCGCTCTCCCGAACATCACTCCATTCACTGCATACACCTTCACCTGTCCTGCCCTGGCGTTACACTGTTTCATTCCTGTCCTCCCCTCTTGAGAGCACGATCCTTGGCTTTTTTGATTGCGTGCGGCGTGGGAGTGATCAGTGCAATGCGAGTGCGAGAGCTCAACCTTTCCGGACCTCACGCTCGAGCTTCGGACACATACACTCATATGTCCTGCTTCTGCGGGAACCCAGCAGCGTGAGAAGCTGCTTTCGACATCGCACAGCCAACAAGCTCATCTCAGCCCGCCAAGGGATAGAACTAGCCTTCTAGGCCCAGGCGCGAGGCAAGGCGGACGGCCTTCACAAGATCCCACTTCTATTTACACAACTACGAAGCTGCGAAACACTTCACAGTGCTACGTCCTTGCACATCGATACCCCTAAGACGCTTCCATAATGTGTCGAGGGAGGATGTGCTCATCGCGGGCACGTCGCCGAGAGGTGCGACCAACGAGAGCTGATCGCGCTGTCGGCATCTCTCGGCGACGCAGTAGCAGCTTTGCGAAGCTTGAAAGCCATGTTCGTATACAGCTTGCCAGGCTATGGACCAGCCGAAATGGCAGGCCGGCAGGTCCAGGAGAATAATAATCGCGCATGACTACGAATGCCTCCTGCAAAGCGTCGCCGCTCCACTGCCAGTGGCTTCGGAGCTTGGCTTACACTCCCGCCAAGGCCCGCGGTTCAAAGATTTGGACATCCAACTGCCAGCAGGTCCATTCCTCGAAGCGGTTTGTGCTGCCAGAGTGTCAATTCTCGCTGATCGCACTCCATCTAGCAAACTGGCCCAGCACTTGTTGTATCGCCTTTCGTGTGGCAATCGACCGACCAACCAACCAGTGCTAAGGAATCTAACACGCCCGGCGGCGCACCTGTCCACACGTGCAGCACTTGAAGGCCCTGCGCGAACCATCAAGAGCTGCTTTGGCGATCTCCAAACTTTTTCATGAGCCCTAACCGGGCCAGGGACAGCACTCCATTTCTCCAGCCGCGGGACAGCTCGAGCTTCGCTGTTTTCGCTTTTCGCTCTTTCGAATGTGTTTGACTGACGATTTCCCAAGGATATATCTCCCTGGATCCTTCGGCCATGGCGAGCACTTACGTGTGGGCGACGAGGTGCATTCCCGCCTTTAGCTGTATCGCCGTCTTCATTCTCCTCGTCCTGTCCTTCCTGATCTCGCCCTTCGGCAAGGGTACACCGGGCAAGCACAATGGCGAAGCTACCGTTCCACAGCTCATCCTCAGCGGCTACACCGTCCTCCTCCACCTTCTGTCGATAGCCTTCCCGGTGCGAGTATGCTGGGCGATGCGAGATGTCTTGAAGAAGATGAGAGAGGCGATTGTAGACACCCCGATCAGGTCAAGTGCAAGGTCTTTAAGCATCAAGACGGAGAACAAGGAAGAAATCGGACACCCAGTACCGTTGTTCATCATCATCCTGCCGGCATACAAGGAGGACATGTCCACGCTCGAGGAGACGCTGAGGGTATTGGGCGCGCACTCGCAAGCTCGATCAAGCTACCATGTAAGTGGTGGCAGCAAGAAATTGCTCATAGTTGGAAAATGTCGGCTCTTGAGCTTCCAAAGATCTTCCAAACTAATCGACGTTAGCTATACCTTGCCATGGAACAGAAAGAGGAGAATTCCGCATCCAAGGCAATGCATTTGATCAAGATGTTCGACAAGTCTTTCGTTCGCATGAGCTACACCGTCCATCCCTCAAACATTCCTGGCGAGGCACAGGGAAAGAGTAGTAATGAGGCTTGGGCAGTCAAGCAGGCCATGAAAGATTACGCCGACGATGCTGTGAAGCAAAATACCATCTTCACTGTCATGGATGGTAGGTGGCATGCGCATTGTTGGATCGATAACTATTGACATGGTTCCAGCTGATACTCACTTATCCTCGCGTTACTTTACTCACATCGCCAAGATGCACGTTGGACATGCCGAGACGAACGAGACAACCATCTATGTTCCGCCTTTGGTCTTCGATCGCAACCTGCACCGTGTCCCACTTTTCGTGCGAACAGCCGATATGATGTGGGCTGGAGCAGGCCTATCCAGCCTGTACGCCGGATCTACTGTCTGCATTCCAACATCAGTCTACTCCCTACCAATGATGCTGGTCGAGCACGTCGGGGGGTGGGACACCGGCCCTGGAGCAATCGGAGAGGACATGCATATGTATCTGAAATGCTTCTTCGCACTTTCTGGCAATTTGAATGTACAGATTGTGTACGCTGCAGCGAGTCAGTGCAATGTTACGGGAAGCTATCAACAAGGCATCCTAGGCTTTCTTACGGGTCTGCAAGCACGTTACAAGCAGGCTCTGCGACACATGTGGGGTTCTCTGGACACTGGATATTCTATTCGCGAGACAGTGAGCATGGTACAAAGGCACAAGAAGGCATGTCGAGGGCGATCAAAGTTCCCCTTGAGCGCACCAAAGTACGTCAGGACTTCTTCTCGTTGTGCGAATTTGCTGAGAACTGACCTTTCTAGCTCTAATTGGACCGCATTCTACACCAGCACTGGATTACACAAGTCGCTGATTCCCAAACTCGCCGATGGCGACTACGCGCCACCGAAGCCGATTGATTGGTACAAGGTGTACACGCTTTACCACCGACTTTTCGAGGCTCATTTCCTGCCAATCCACCTTTGCACGATCTTAGTCATCTCAGGCATCTACACCTTCGTATGCCCCAGCTTCTTGATTCCAACAGCTTTCAAGATGGCCTTGGACTTTTCCAGCTTCTGTCGCCTGGTCGGATTCAGCACTATGCTGACGTTCTTCTACCTTTACGATCGCTACCACAAGCTTTGTGTGGGCTTGCGAAAGGAAGAGATGCGTCAGGCCGGCATGTTGGAATATATGGAGGACAACGATGGCTTCACTCCGTCAATCTTTCAGTTCGCCGGACTGTTTGAGGTCGCGACGTTTCCCATCGGAGGCTTCATTTTTGGGGCCATTCCTGCGCTGCAGGCTGTTCTCAGCCATCTGTTCACTGACCGCCTGACCTATGTGGTCAGCCTGAAGCCACGGCTACCTGCATGGCAGGATCTATCCCGTTTGACACCGTGAGGCTCCCCTGCATATTTGATTCAACGCCGCGATCATAGCACTATAACCGTCCTATTCACTCGCATAGCGGTGGCGTAATGTTGGTGGGGATAGAATTGCGGAATAATCTTAATCATGCACATCACACTGCACGTAAATCATCAAACCTAAAGAGAGCGCATACTAATGTCATCTTTGCTAAAGATCCACTTACACCGCGACTCTCACGCGAAAAAGCCCGAACTGTCAGCAAACGAGCAGTCCACAAAGGGAGCAGCACCGTTCGCGGACCCAATCGGACGCCGTTTCGAACGGTCATATCAGCATTACGGGCATGAACGGTCACACGCATCGCCGTCGCATCTCGCATCTAATACAATTTTCAAAAGATGCGGATTAAAATGCCGATCCTACGAATGAGGAAGTTTGTCAGCACTGGCTGATTCTGTACGACAGCAGTCGGCAGCCACCCAAGATGACGCGTCTAGACACGTGCATCGCACGATTGCACGATACGAACCTTCACGTATCGACCTTAATCATGATAAGGTTCGAAGATCCTCAAGCGTCCCCAAGTCTACTCTCAAGGACAGGAACATCGACAGAGAACTGTACACCAAGTCTGCTCCGCTGTCTTCACTGCCCTTCTTGGGCCATAGTCACGCCATCGCCCTCTTTATCTCGATCGACTTCAGACTTGCATCGTCATCACAGCGCAGCGCCATCACACCCGCAACACAGCACAGATTGCGGTCGACAGAAGCTTTACCAAGCATGGCACTAGTCGTCCATGGAGCCTTTCGCTGCGAGGCTAGAACTGAAATTAGCACGGGTATTCTGGATTTGGCCTCATCGAGGTCAAAGTCCAGCCTCGGCTGGGCTGGCCTTGTGGCTTGCTCACTATGAGCTCGATCAGCGGCCCGTTGCACAATTTGCGATCAAGTCGTGCTCAGGTACTCACTGCGGATCGGGAAGTCATGGATGATGTTTACCAAGCAGTAAACACAGGCGAGGAGCTAGGCAAAAACGCACCGTAATCTAAAGACGAATGAATGACAGGACAGACCATTATATCGCTCTATTGTCAGCTTCTCTTCGCTCCTCCCCCTGCTCCCGCCTTTTCTGCTCGACGTCTTTCTCCATCCTGCGATCGATAGCCAAGAAGATGTACAAGAACGCAAGGCAATAGACCACTTTCAAGCAACCTGCCACAACGAACGCCAGCCAGAAGAGACCTCTGTCAGCCCAGACGCCAGTGAGGAACGATCCAGTTGCATTCGCCGCAACCTTTACTATGTTAATGATACCAAATGTGGCAGTTCGTTTCTTCTTGTCCGAAGGCGAAGATGCGGATGAAGCGTTGGAGGAGAATTAGTTTTACGTCACGGTGGGAGGTGAGGACTGTGTGTAGGCCGGTGGAGAGGAGGATTTGGTGGGACCAGGAGGGTGTGGAAGGAGTGCGAGACTCTAGCTCGGGTCGTGGGTCCTCGGTTTCAGCCATGATCTCTGATATCCAAATCTTGCCTCTAGAAAGTTGATTGCATGGTCGCTGAGATTCTGATCTGGCCAAGTTTGAGGATTGATAGATAGCATCGTTCCTGCTTGCCTGCGCAATGGCAGAATCTCGGCTATGTGGTGACGTCGGCAGGGAGCTCTTGAAACTTTAAATCGCAAGCTTGGCTTTGTTTGTTCTTGTGTAGCCTTGACTTGCTGTTGATGATTCTGAATGTTTGCGACAACGATTCGAAGAAGTGTGAACACAATGCTCTCTCCAGCGGAGGCATCGCCCTACTCGAGGGCTGTGGTAAATGCCATGCGCAAGCTGTGAGTCGAACTAAGAAGGGGAAGAGCAAGGGAAGTGTACTGACGGAGACGAGATATCCAGAGGCATTGGCGGATAAAAGCTTCGATAACACTGGGCGTAAGCATATCTCGCAGCATAATCTACCAAAAGCTGATAGTCTATAGTACTGCTTGAAGCACCATTCGACCCTCTTCGTCGCCAGATGAACTCGGTCTTGCTGACAGTCGACCTCACCAAGGCCGTTGCCGACGAAGCCATCGAGCGACAAGATTCCATCGTAATAGCCTATCGTGCGTGCAACAAATTGCCAGTAATAAAGATTGGTCTGACCATATGTGAAGCGTAGATCCGATCATCTTCAGAGGTCTCAAGAGCTTGACATTGGGAGATACCCAACAGCAGTCTTTGCTTCGACTAGCAGCAGAAGGCATCAGCGTCTATAGTCCACACACTGCTGTGGATTGCGCAAGAGGTGGCCTCGGAGATTGGTTAGCAGATATTGTGACTGGGACACCAACAGATCCATCCGAGCTGGACGGTCTTGAAGATAGAGGCAGCGACCCACCACCAGAGAATGGCACGCATGTTGATACGTCTGTGGAGAATGGCGCGAAGCGACCGACATACATGCTCCAACATCATCCATCTCAACTCTCCCTCCGACATCGAGCGCTCAACTTGGGCAATCATCAGCACAAGCGCTACCCGATCACCAAGACGTTGGTTGAAGGTTATCCAGGCGCAGGTATGGGTCGCATAATCCGTCTCGCAGAACCGGTCCCACTCATCGACATCATCGATCGCATTGGACTAGGTATGGGACAACCGAAAGGCTTTCAACTCGCAGTACCACAAGGAAAGCAAGCCAGCGACATCTCCATCTCCAGCATCGCGCTCTGTGCCGGTTCGGGAGGTGGTCTCTTCTCGCAAGCTGAGAAGAATGGTGAGGACGTGGATCTCTATTTCACAGGCGAGCTGTCACATCATGAAGCTTTGGCTGCCATCGAGAAAGGGAAGAGTGTGATATGCTTGTTTCATTCAAATACGGAACGCGGGTTTCTGCACAGTGTTCTGAAAGGACAGCTAGAGAGAGAGGTCAAGAAAGAGTGGGAGAAATTCAGGAGTAAGGAGAAGCTAAGAGACGGGATTCGTGAGGATTACCTTGAGGTTTTGGAGGATGCGAGTTCGGAGATTCATGTTAGTGAGGTGGATAGGGATCCTTATGGGATTATGATATCTAAGGCAGAGTTAAAGTGAGGTTACCGTGGAGCTATGGAGTTGAAGGGGTGTTGAGCGTAGGACAAGAGGCCTTAAATAGAGGATTCAGGTAAAGTGATAGCCTCAGACAGGATTTTGAAGTGGAGTTCTTTGAGTTCAGATGCGATGCCGCGTTGCTGTTAGATATCGTTTGCCGTGCTCAATTAGGGAAGCATTCCGTATCGACTATTCCAACATGTAGGACTCAGTTCAACCCCTTTGCACGTGGTCACCTTCTTGGCGCATGTGAATCTCGGACCCAGCTCCGACTCCTTCCGAACTTCGGATCTGATTGACAAACTTCAGGTGCCGTCATGCAATCTGATCCAACTCACCAACCTCCATTCACCACTACTCCAAAACAAAAAAAATGTCCGTTCAAACAGCCCTGGAACCCGAACACCCCCAACCCTCAACAACCATCACGCCCGAAACCCTCTCTCAAACATTACGAGAGAAACTCGATGCCGTACATGTAGATGTTGCGGATTTGTCAGGTAAGAAGCCCCGACCGAAGCGAGGCAGAGCTACTTCAAGAGTAGAATATGCATAGATAGCTAACTATTTGTGTGTTCGAATTTTTTTAGGCGGTTGTGGACAAATGTTTGAAGCGGTCATCGTTTCACCACAATTCGAGAAAAAGTCGTCGTTGGCGAGACATCGACTTGTGAATAGTACTTTGAAGAAAGAAATTGCAGCTATACATGCTTGGACGGCTAAGTGTTTTACGACGGAGGAGTGGGAGAGGAAGAAGGATGTGGGGGGTTGAGACTCGGAGGGGGAAAGAGAGGATTGGGATGAGGCCTGGCGTATGTGCATGCTGGATTGCGCGGACAACAGATTCGAAGACGAGCTTTTGGATATTTGATACAGCGGCACCATATGGGAGGAGTTCGGCTTGTGATGTGAAACAAGAGCGCGCTAAAGGCTGCAGAAATGCCATGTAAGTAGCGCCCGATCTTGCTGTCAACTTGGATGTCTAATCAGAATGAAAGGGAAAGCCTACTTGCCCGTACATCTGTGCTCTTTCTCGCGCTCAGGTGCGACGCATCATGGCAAGGCTCTCAGTGAGGCCCTAACAGCTTCAGTCCCAACTTGGCTACCAGCCGAATGGCGGCTTGACAACAACTTTTTCTCCCACCGACACTGACGTGATTACTCCCCTCGTCTTGTTGGGCTTTCCGCCCGATAGCTTTTCGAGCTTGTCCAAGACATCTCCAATGGTCACACCCTCACCATCCCTTGCATTGACAGTCTGGCCGCTGACGCAAACCCCTCCATGGCGTGTATGCAGCCACACCACCTGCGCTGGAGGCTGAGTGATGAGCATGTGGCGGAAGCTGCCAGTGATCCATGGATTGATATACTCCTTGGGCCGGTGTTTGGCTTTGATATGCGGGAAACCTGGCTTGAGCTTGCGCAGCTGGAAGACTTCAGAAGCCAGTGCATCGAATTGCGGTTTGCAGTCGGTATGATCAGGCGGTGGCGCTGGTCGGAAGAAGAGAGCCTCCTGCAGAAGAATCGAGTCGGCGATGACATCCTGCCATGTCTTGCATGTGCGTTGGCTCAGGAGTAATGTTTTGGTATCGAGGCTCAGTAAGATAGCTTGCAGTAACTCAACGGTGTGGAGCACCGCATGTGCTGCGGGCTGTGCCATCTTGTTGATGAGTTGCGGAGCGAGGAAAAGGAAAGGCTAGACGAGATTGGAGGTTGGGCGAGCCTTGTAAAGCAAGATGTGCGAGACCAAAGTGAAGCGAAGCGCTGGACAAGGAAGAGCATGGACGATATTACCCACCCTAGCAAACGAACGTGCAACCCGACACCCATCAAACGTCCTTCGACGCGCACAAAGCTTCTAAGATACGCGAACTACTACTACTACTACTATGGCGGCATCAACGGAGACAACGCCCACCGCCGCTGGCATCTCGAGCCCCGCCGCCGTTGAGAAAGGTACGTGCACTACTCGTTAAGCTACATAAACGTCGAAAAGCTTCTCCCATTCAATCAGAAAAAAGCACCAATGTAAGCCGCTGTTCAAAATGGCGCAATGGTAACGCGGTCTGATGATAAGTCAAAATTCTGCTAACTGCTGATTCACTGAAAAGTGATGACGAAAGAGGAATTTCGCTTCCGTCCCAATTGAAAAATTGGGGCGTTTCGTTTTGCTATTTTGAGGGATGTTTCTATCATATTATTCTTTCGCGCCGGTAGCTGAACGTAATGAGATGTTGAGTGAGGTGTTATTTTTGATGGTTTGGTGGCTGACTTTTTGGTTTTTTGATAGGGATGGCTATGGGTTCGAATTGCAGTGCACGCTTTCCCACTGCCGTATTCTCATCGTGAGACTCGCCTCTACTTGACCCACGTCGAGAAAGATGCCACCAGCTGCTCGAGCCGATCATACTCAGTCTAGGCCCTCCGTTCGCTCATGCCTTCTTAGAGACGGCATAGCTAATTTCGGCCAGCCAAACTTCTCCCCAGCTGCGCTCGTGCTTCTTCACCATCGGCTCGAGCGTGTCGACAAGGTCACCTATGGTGATGTGGCGTTGAGTCGCTCGGATGCCTTCAGTTTCGGAGTAGACCTCGGGTCCAGCTTTATGTGAAACACGAACGTAGGCGCGACGAACGCCAGGGCAAGAGATGTTCATGTGTCGATGGGTCGCGTTCGTCTGCAACCATTTCTTCAGCTTGAATGGCTGTGCTCTCTTGGCGTAGCGAGGCTTCAGGGCATTCTTCATGAGTGGCTTTATGCGAGGGTTGATGAGAATAGGCTCCTGCACGTCATCCTCGGAATCGCTATCAGTCGACCACGAGCGGGTTGCACGTTCTGCGGGAGACTAGTCAGAAGGGTGAAGGTCTGTTTATTTCAGAAGACTTACTCATCGTTTGAGCCTCCTTTGGATCCAGAGATGTCACCTCGAAGCGAAGCTTCTGCTGCAAAGGCTTCGATTCCGCGATCACTTCGCGCCACCATTTGCAGACTCTCTGGGCTCGAAGGATGCCCTTGACGCCAAGTGGCAAGACTATCATTTCGAACAATTCGACCGTGCCGAATGCTCGCTCTGCTGCGGTCGCCATTATTGCTGAATGGTGCCAGTGTTTCGGAAATGAAGTTCGACAAAAAAAAAAGGATGAAGCAGGCGGAGACTTCTTGGCATTGTCGCAGACGCGTGCATGGCAAGAGCGACTGACCCTTCACTTCATCCGCCTCGGAACTCATAGACATTGCGCGGGATACAGGCTCCTCAATTGAAGAGAAAATTACGTGCAGTGAGGGGCCATAATTCCAGAGGGCCATCGCTCAAAGCCAAGTGATAGAAGCTGGTGTCATAGGCAATCTTACCAGAGATGCCGTGAGCTGCATCGCAGCAGCAACTCGACAGATCTGCAGACGAACACCACACTAGCTTATCTTCGCGAATTGTGTCTAGAAGACTTGTTGCAAGCGCAGATCGCGACGTACGAAGCAGCAGCTGTATTGATTCGAGGTATCAGAGCCGAAAGATGAGGGCTATAGAACTGCATTCATCCATCAACTCTGTCCGCATCGCGTAGTTGGAAATAGTCCAAAAATCCCGCCTGTCTTTTCATCCACTTCTCTAACACTATTGAGGCGAGCATCGCCGTGGGCTGCATAGGGCCCTCCTTCTTGCTGGCACTCGCTGGCTTCTGTACACTCCTAGCCCATGGACCGTAATCATCCTCATTCTGCTTCAATTGCTTGACGCCCAACATGAGCTTTTGCATTCGGCGCTCAATCCGGCCAAGGAGTCCTCGACACTTGTTGATCCTATTAGCGACTGACATAATGGCGCTGTCGTCGAGTCCTTCGGTGATGAAGCCTTGTATTTCCCCTAGCAGGTCACAAATTTCGTGCCACCTATCGAAGAAGGGATCGTCCCACCAGTCGCAAGTGCGGATTCCAAACTGCTCGTGCGCTAATGAGATGTATTTAATATCGGGTCGCGACCAGTGCGCCTTGATGGCAACATGAATACCATGATACTCGTAGCCCACGTTCTCGTACTGCTCTGATGTCGACTCGAGGTATTGCCTGATGTTTTGGACTGCGGCGTCTATTCGAGTTGGCCAGTCTTGAATATTCTGGCACTCGGGGCGCGCGCATCTCCAGTTATTGTGCCGGTATTTGACGGTCGGCTTGGTCCAGAGTCCAAAAAGGCTATCGTCGTCGGGGATTGGTGAAGGTGTGTCAGAAACCGAGTAGATGGTGAAGTGGAGGCAGCTGTATGTCACGAGCTCGTATCTAGGCACCATAGTCGATCGAGCGTTGGGTGTGTGTGGTCTTTACAGGTGGAAAGTAAGCTCTTAAGCAACAGGTGACAAAATTCATGATCGGCGTGAGTGTTGCCTGCTGGTGCAGTGAATGAAAGTAGTCCATATTCTGGAATTCACGAGTTAAGTCTTACGTTCTAGGAGGTACTTCACTCACAGATATTTCATCTGACGTGGTATGTGATTTTTGAATATCGTGCAACGACGCGCTTACAGCTCTCAACCTTTCGTCGCCACGTTATGTCAATGGCCAAATTGAACGATTCGAGCATGGATGCGATTGTACCAAACGGTCGTCCAGCTCTGTATCCTAAGGACCGTTGCGTTTCTTCGAATGTGCTTCATCTACCACGTATTGATTCAGGTGCAGTGTCTTGGGGCGAGCTAGGTCGCAGGCTTGTCGCACCTTTTGGTCATTGTCTAGATGAGCGGAATTGCGAGCGTCAGTCTCGATGAATATGACTGTATGAAGCAGACTGGCAGTATTCCATAATGACTGCCCAGCAACCTTCTCAACAACAGAAGCTGTTGCTCGCGCGCCGTCCGAAGGACATTTCTTGTCTGCGATCGCACGTGTCTCAAACAGCACATTCGAGTAGCGCGGCAATGGAGAACGAGCGTGTTCTACCCAAGCATGAGAAAAATGCTATCGTGACCTTATCGAGATGTATGAATGAACTGTGTTGAAGACGCGACAACGACATGGAAGCGACGTTGCTGGGGAAAACGCCAAGACCGAGATCCTTGCCGGGCCGTCGCCAGCCGCTCGCAGCCATCTCCAATCACCACCCGCCTCTTGCCTTTCTCTTCCCATTATTCATGCAAGTTGCATGGCTTTCTGACAGCATGGCCTTCCACAGCTCCAGCTGAAATCCTGTATGGTCAGCGAGACATGGTCAGCGAGCAGCCGCTCTCGTATTCCCATCATCACCATCGCCATCGCCATGCGGTGTGTCTGACTACAAACAACGACACTCGCTGTCCTGCCTTACATTTGAACCTCCCAGAACCTGGAAACGTGATAGCAAGCTGACCATCAATCGCCAAAGAAGCATACCAATAGCCTTTGCTTGGCCGGAGGCTGAGGGACAAGGATGGTGTACCTCTCCCGCCACTCTGCTGTTTCATCCGCATCCTGTATCGTGTGCCATGCGACCATATCAGCCGGCCTGGAGTGTTTCTAGCCTGGACCAAAGCGTCGCACGTCGGAATTTTCCCTGTCATGACCACGACAGCACGAGCTAAGTGTTGTGACGAGCTTACAGACTCACAGATATACCTGCCACCTCCCCACAGCAGACCTCCCAACCTCTCGTTGTTGTATACTTTCACTTATTCTCTTTCGTTGTTCGGGCACCCGTTGCCACTCCACGTTTACACCACGCACAACCATGGAACACTCTCCAGCTGTATGCCTACGACTGATCTCCGATAATCTCTCCGAAGTCGACCATCACTGCTCATTATGTCTCTTCTTCCACGGAGCAGATAAGACTTGTCGCCACGAACCATCTTCTCCTCCCAAAATTCTGCGATCAGAAACCCCATTCTCGGATTGCTCTTTCTATACATGCCGGACAGCTGCGAGCAGTATATCGACCACTTCGCTTCAATCGGACAGCTCAGGCAGCTCGACTAGCACGATCAAGGCACGCATCCACATCACTACACCTGCTGTGAAACGACAATCGCTGCGGAGAAAACAGTCGCCAACCGATGCGTCTTTACGGGAACTGAACCACAGCCAAGAAATTCTCATAGATCTTCGAACAAGACAATCCGAGGAACGTCTTCAGGCTGTGTACGAGAGACAGATCATGCAGTACCTCCACTCAGACATAATTCGGAGAATCAGCTTTGATGATGGAGACATTTGGACGATTGAAGAATGAAGACGAATTACGACATTACGCCTGTATGAGAATCCGACTACTATCTACATGTACATCTTACAATAGCATCACTACCAAAAAGCCACTAGCGAATGTGTTTCTGACAGGGAGTTGGCCTCGTATTTTGCCAATTCTGGCGAATCCTTCTGCGGACTTTGGAGGACACACATGTAGGTTGCTAATAGCACCTGCATAAGATGCTCGGCCTTGCCACCGACAGAAAGGGCAACGCAAAATAGGCCAGGAAGGCAAAATCTGAGAAGCCTCAGTAGAGGATTATGCAATTTCATTTTCATTCTCGAATATCTATTCACTTCCAACGTTCCGAATCACCGTTGTCAGGTTCCTTCAAATTACCAAAAAAAATATATGCAATGCAATGCAATATGCCTCTCTCTCTCTCTCTCTCCCTATACACGAAAAACAAGCCCAGATGTCGTAGGCCGTCATTCCCATACGATATGTGACAGCCGTAATTTATAGAAAAAAAAACTCCACTCCACTCAACTCCCTATACAAATGCCAAAAAAAAAGAATTGCCTAAAACACACACGCGCGCCAAAGACAATCATACCCCTCGCGTCCCAAAATTCAGTTCTGGTAACCTAGGTTCGCGAGAATTCACTGAAGACCCTCGACTGTGATCTCGATAATGATTATAGCTAGGATCTCGAACTCCCATATCTGCAGCCGAAGCGACCAAACGGTCGTCGTCCTGGTAAGTGGAAGGTTCTCTATGCGGGGAGTCGCCTCTGTTGACGACTGGATCGTAGCGACCTCTATGATCAGCGAAAGGGGAAGAAGAGACGAAGGGAGCCGCGGTTTTGTATGAAGGTGGGCCAGCGTGTTTGACGTCGCTGGTCATGAGGAGACTATTCCTTGCGTCGAGAGGGGTGAGGTTATCGAGGTCGCGGTTCAGGCGTTCTTTTTCTTTGCGGGCTCGGCGGTGGGGGTTTTCGCGGACGCAGGTTATGATTGCGTTTACGGCGATGAGGATGGCGAGGATTCCGGTCATGACGGATTGCACTACGATTAGGACGACGCCGGTGACGGTTTTTGTGGTTTGGCTTAGGCCGAGTTCTTCGACGAAGACGAGGACGCAGATTACGGAGAGGACGCGGACGGTTTGGATTACGATGTTGATCCATTTTCCGCTGGTTCGCTGGTAGGGTCTGGTCCAGAGGAGGAGGGCGAGCATTAGGGCTTCGACGATGAGTTGGCCGGCGACTTGGACCATTCCGTGCCCGTTTGCGCCGGCGATGATGCAGCCTCGGACGAACATGTAGATGATGGCTGGGATGAAGATCCACCAGTAGTTTTTCTTGAAGTTGTCGTAGAAGAGGGAGTACTTGATCCAGACATCCTTGTCTTCGTAGAGTTTTGAAGTGTCGCCTTCCATTTTCTTGTACTGTCGGGCTTTGGTCACGACTCGCCAGGTAAAGCCACCAAGCACAGCAGTAAAGAGTCCCAATGTGACACCAGCCAGCACTTTCGCAGCCCATGAATCACCGGTAGTGAATTGATAGACGCACCACATGGTCCACACCCCGTAGAGCATGAGAACCAAATTGATCTGTGCCTTGGCCATGCGCCACCAATATCGCCTGCGCCAGGATTCCATGCCGTGTGAGAGCTTCCCGAACATTGCCCATGCCTCCAGAATGCATTTGCCAAGAAGAATGAGGACGATGATAGCAGCCACGACAATGGCCCAGACCAGAAGCACCGTCATGAAAGTGTTTGCCGAAGGAATCGAGAGCTGTTCGACGTAGGCCTGGATTCCGCTCACGAACTTCTCGTCCTTCGTGCTTTCATTTGTGGTCGAATTTGAGCTGGAGCCGTCGCCGCCAACTGTTGACTCTGTTCCATTCACATTTACTGTCGTACCATCGCGAGCCCAGAGAAGGGCAGTGTTGAGAGCTCGCTTCGTTAAGCTGGAGTTAGTGTAGCCATCGTTGTAAACGAGTGTCGCGTTGTTCTTGAGGTCTTCGTAGCTATTGTCCGTAATGTTGCCTCCAGTCTTCGCGCGGAAGTTGTCGATCGCGGTCTGCATGGAGCCCCATTGCACAAGTCCGCAAGAGAAGCCAAAGTTGGTCGCAAAAGACCGGTACACTTTCGGATACTGAACGCTCAACATTCCGTTCATCGCCATGCCTTGAAACCAACCAATAACTTCCGTGAAGGTGGGCGATGAAGTTGCTGCTCCTGGATGTCCTCCAGCAGCGACCGCGCCGACCGCCGAGAAAGCAAGAGCTGCAGCCGCGACACCAGCTGCTGCGTATGTGACGGAGGGCATGCTGGCAGTGTGTCCATTGGAGATACTGCTTTGGATACAAGCGATCTCTGCACCCGACGAACTCTTCACTTGCAATTTCACCAATCCGTCGAGGTCGGGTATCGAGAAAGCGATGGCTGGGATCTTACTGGCGTACTCCTCTGGTATTGTCTGCTCGCCTTTTGACGAGAACGAGCCTGCCGGCACTGAAAGGTCATGTCAGTACGGTTGTTTTTGGGGATGATATATCTTCTCTTACCAGGACACATTTGCGACATGTTCTCGTCACAAGGATTGAAGTCTTTGGTGTATACAGTCTTTCCGTATGCGCTCACTTCCAGCTCCAGCGTGACATTCACCTCCGATGCACTAGACCCGGCGACATCGAACGTTATCCTTCTCGTATGCTTGTTGTATGAGACGTCCAGTGCCTGGACTTGAATGTCTGGGTCACTGCTGCAAAGACTGTATCCATCTGTTGATAAGACATCCCCAGCCAGCACGCTGGCCGGCAGCGCGCTGAGGAGACATAGAGGAAGAAGTCGGCGTATTCCTACAGACGACCGCATTGTCGCGTGCTCAGACTTTCGCCTCGAAAGATGTGCCGCCCCTCGAAGGGTAAAGAATGTTGTCCCAAGCCTGAACAGTGGGATGAGATGGTCGCTCGTAGAGAGCTACACCCAGGGCGGCGATCGCTCCCAAGGAAGTCGTGTTCCAGAAGATGTTCGGTGTTTCGTAATAACTTTGCCTGAAGGCTGGCCCCTGTTTCTTTGGGTCCACAGCTCTCACAAAGAAATCCAGAAGTGTGAAAGCAGTGTGGCTAAACGAATGTCGAAATGGATGAGCGATGCAAGATAGAAACAAGAGCAGGACTATGGCACAAGACAGGTAGGTAACTTGGAGAGAAATGCAACGCGGAGTGGTGAAAAGATACGAGAAGGTGGCTGCGTAAACCCTTTTGCGATTCATGATTGGGCAGGGAGGCCTCGCGTTCACCTAGTGGCAAGTGCGCACGCTCCCTTCTAAGAAAAGATCCGTGACGGCGTCTCCACTGTCCAGTGTCCACCAGTGCCCTCCACACTGCTGTCGAGGTCTCAGGTTCTAGAAGTGCAGAATGCAGATGTGATGTATCCCTCTCTTGCTGAAGAATGCACGCGTGTCCGTACACATCACATCGTGCTCGACGCTGCACCAGCGACGCAGATCTTCCCACCACATGCGTACCCTTTTCAACGTCTCCATCGGCACGGCATCACTGACGCCGTGAGGCCGACTAACGCGCCTATTCTTCCTGACTGCAATTCCTCTTCCTGCAGAGACTTGTGGCGCTGCTAAGCCCCGTAGAGTCGCGGATGAGCCCGAGCGGTTTGACACGTCGTCGGCAGCGCGCTGCACGGCTTCGTCTCCCGTTGGCATGTTGCGTGGTCGTGTTGCTTCGCTGCTGAGCATGTCATCGCTGGCCTTATGTATACCGCCAATCGTGAGCGCGACACCAGCAGCATGTCTCGCTGCGCGCGTTTCTGATGTGAGAACAGCAAGTCCGCTCGATCTTGGCGGCCCAGGGCCTGCCTGGATTTAGCTTTGCTTTGGTGAGTGGCTCGTGGGACACACAAATCCCTCGAGCCAGCCGCAAACGTGCGGGCCAGGCCAGGCCACCGCGGCAAGCTTCTCTCGCTCTCCGCCGGACTTCAGGTGTCTAGGGACGTCAAACATCACAAAAAATGTCCGGACCTGTGCTGCTTTCTTGTGTTTGAGCATCCAGAATCAGGAAGGCACGTTGCAGGCCATCCACACTTGCCAAGATGGGTGGTGCGCCAAAGCTGCTGGCGATCGCTGACATTCATTTGTCCTTCAAGTCCAACCGGGACGAATGGGCCAAGTTGAGGATGCACAAAGACGACGGGCTCATTCTCGCGGGTGATGGTATTGTAGTCTCGCGTTCCGTTACTGCTGCTGATGGCTGATGGCGACAGTGGGCGAAAGCCTGGAGCATATGCAAATTGCGTTCCGGAAAGCAGTCCGGAGATTCAAGACGGTGTGGTGGTGCCCGGGAAACCATGAACTGTATACCTCTTCTTCGCCCTCTTTGAAGGAAGAAGAAAGGAAGCTGCGGGGAGAAGCCAAGTATCGAGCTTGTATCAAGGTGGCGAGACATTACGGAGTGCTCACGCCCGAAGATGATTTCGCTACGTGGCCGTACACCAGTGCAGAGGGCTCCCAAGAGCGGGCTCTGGTATGTCCCATCTTTACCCTGTACGATTACAGCTTCCGACCGGACGATGTGCCACGAGAGAAGGCCTTGGACTGGGCGTTAGAGGAAGGCATACAGGCCACGGACGAGAAACTACTTCATCCGGATCCATATTCGAGCCGCGATAACTGGTGCACAAGACTGGTGTCGGAAGCAGAAGCGAAATTGGAGAAGGCTGCTGCGTCCGGATTGCCTCTCATTATAATCAATCATTGGCCACTGAGAGAAGACCTCATATTCATCCCGCGAGTGCCTCGGTTCAGCTTGTGGTGTGGGACCAAGGAGACGCATGACTGGCACACTCGCTTCAATGCGAAAGTCGTTGTGACTGGCCATCTGCATGTCCGAAGAACTGACTGGATTGACGGCGTGCGATTTGAGGAAGTGAGTCTTGGCTACCCGCGGCAGTGGCAGGACGCGAAAGATGCGGGAAACGACATCAACACTTTGCTCCGAGAGATCTTGCCTGGTCCGGTAACTCCAGTCCGAGGGCAAGAGCCACCCACACAATATTTTCGCATTGGCATAGCCGAAACTCCAAGCTGGGCACTAAAACCGGAATGCTTGGGCTAGATGTGGGATGACATGTTGTCAAGGTCGAATTGCGCACATATCTCTCTCGATGAGGCACGATTGATGAATCTCATGAAACGCCTCCGATTGCAGCTGCTAAATCGACTAGCTGCATTGAACTTGGAACGCTTCGCGTCGCAGCAACAAAGTCCCGCAAATGCGCTCATCTCGACCGCTACAAGCGACAGCGGCCGTTGCTTCACTATACAGCCACGCAGCACGTCAGCGGAAGGTCGGAGGAGGAAGCGTATGGCAAAGAAAGGAAGTCTCAGGGAGAAAGCAGATCTGAGACTTCAATGTGTATTGACAGAACTAAGTTAAAGAGCGCTGTGAGACCTGTAGGCTACGGTCTGGCACAGCGTAGGAATCTGTATGCACAGAATACATGCCTCTGATGATCTTGAGGCAGTATCCCTCCAAGGTTGGAGTGGAGCAGGGAGCCAGAGCTCAAATTATCTTCCGTTCACCAGGAAAGGAAGTCTCGTCCGGGGGGGTCGCGCACGTCTTTGCTTAGCAGGATCAAATCAAAAGCTCTTTCAATCCTGCCTTTGTCGACTGCTTTGCTTGATATTTGCAATGGCTCGAGTGATGTCACTTCTCGAGCACGACTGATGCCAGCTGCTCCGAGGATTGTCCCATGAAAGCTGGATCCTTGAGGACCTCGACCCTTCGCGTGCGTCGCACCACGTCGGCTTGATCGCCAAGATAGCGTCTGCTCGCAAAAGACCAGTAAAGGTTGGCGCGGAGGGTGTTTAGTACTCCTTCGATGTAGCCGTCTGCTTCATGGTCGAGCCGCTGGTCCTCGTAATGTGGTCGGGTCGAAATGCACGACTTGATACGAGCAAGACGGTCGTCAAGCATATGGCCAACGTGGTCGAATGCGTCTTGTGCCGAGAGGCCGCGAATGCGACATATGGCAACCACGTTATGTGGAACGCCTTCCGCCTTACACGAGTTAGCTGGGATGAAGAAGAGCTTCACTGCGTATCTTGTACCTCTTCTTTGAAGTACGAGAGCATGTCGTTTTGCCTATGTGCTTGTCAGACGGGTCTTGTGGCGCGATTCTTTTGGAAGAGCTTACAATAGTGCACAGTCCATACCGAGTTCTTCAAGCTCTTGAACCCATGCACTGTCAAAGAACTCATCCGGCAGATCCAATGCATGTGCGTACTCGAAGAAAGGATACAGCGGAGCCACGCCGGCTGATTGTCGCCGAATCTTTAACATCTCGGACAAGGTCGGTGTCTCCTCTGCAGCCACTTTGAAGACCTGCTTCAGGACAGCATCGCAGAAGCGGTGCATTGTCTTCAGGAAACGTCTCTGTACGCCAGGCGGTGCACTAGCCTGTAGCTGCGACCAGATGGCATTGTGAAAGCGAATGAGGTGGCATTGCTCGGTGTCAGCTCCCTCTTCGGTTGATTCCATGGTGGCGAAGAGCGCTTGCATTTTTGCTTGTGCTGCGGCAGCATCGAGCTTGAGTTTTCCATTGTCAAAGAGGTCATCGTAGGGAAAGACCCAATTGCACCAGTCGCAATACAATCGAAGGCGACTTTCTTCGGCATCCGGCGCTGCAATGGCGACGAAACGGCTGAAATCACCTTTGCGCACGATGGTGGCCACTCGATGGTCGTAGTTGCAGAATTCGATAATGGCCGTCTCTGACTCTCGTCGGACTTTGTCGTAGGCGGTGTGGAGCCTTGGCTCGTCTGCCAGGAATGATGTGAAGAGCTCGGGTAGGAGAATGGTCACTTTGTCGGGTGGGTCCATGTCTGCTGCGGTTGTTCTTGGACCACAGGCGATGTGAGGTGTAGTCTTGGGCAAGAGACGAAGGGAAGTTCTGAGATTGAGCAAGCGCGGACTCGCCGTTGGGCAACTGCATCAAACCTTACATGTGAGCCATGGCAGTCGCGCCCTTTCAACGGCTCACGTTAATGTTTACACTGAACAAGTGAATGCTGGCGTCAAGACAGCGGCAAGCCCAGCAGGCAGAGCAAAGAGTATCCATTTGAGTATTACCGTACCTGCCTTTTCTCGTTGACGATCGCGCACATGCTGATTTTGTGATGATCAGAAGGCGCCGTCATGACGCCCTCCCATTCTTCATGGTCGTTTTGATCTGCCCACCGCAAGAATGCCATGCCATGCCATGCACCATCATGCCGCCACGTCCTGCCGCGACACTCTCTGTGGCAGCTGAGCGAGCCATTCGGAAATTTCAACCGCCGCAATCAGCACACGCACAGTCTCGCCGCGCCAGTGGGATGGATAGCAGAAGGAGGATGGGCTTCGTTGATAACAAAGGGCAGAGGGCAGCCGACGTGGTGAAGAAGGCGAAGGTTTGGGAGGCGCGCAAGGATCCCTCGGCCAACTGCGCGACCGATGTCGGGACTGCCGCTTCCAATGTTTCGCGACTGTGTTTCTCCTGGAAAGGCTGAACAGCAGCCTGCTGCTCTGACAACCACGCCTCTCACTGACTCTGATGATCAAGCGGCGCCTATACTATGTGCATGATGGACGTGTGCAGCGCCGAGTCCGCGGCATGCCCATCGGATATACATTGGAACATGCGCCCTACCGGCCCGGCACAAGTGGATCTTTCTCAACTGCATGCAGTGCATGGGTTTGCCTTCCTCTGAAGACTCTGAACTCAGCTTCTTTCAAATCCAGTCCCCAGAGCCAAGTCTCGTCAAGCCTCAGGAGGAATCGTCTCCCAAATGGCCTCCGCAGAGACTAAGACAGTGAGCTCTCAGTCTTGGCGGTATTCGAAGACGCTACTCATTTTTACAGCTACGCTAGGCCTTTTCACAGGTATGTAGAATCCTCGAGTTCGAGCCACTAAACGCTAAGACGTGTGCAGAGAATTTCATCTATGGATTTATTGTCCCGATAATGCCATATATGATCGAGAAGAGGTTAAGGCTCGATCCGTCATTCACCCAGCGATTTACCACAGAGCTGCTTTTCGTCCTTGGTCTCGTCTCTATGCTTTCGGCACCCGTTATTGGATACCTCGCAGACCAGACTACCAGCAGAAAGATTCCACTCCTTCTATCCCTCATTGGCTGCACTGTCGGTACTCTGCTCGTGGCTACAACCCCTTCAGTGTGGGCCATGTACATTGGCCGCATTCTCCAAGGCATGGCCGGCACAGCAGCATGGATTGTTGGTTTTGGAATGTTGACTGACGCCGCAGGAAAGCAGCACCAGGGCAAAGCTTTGGGGATTGCTGGCTCTTTTATCACTGCAGGAATAATTACCGGTCCTGCTGTTGCAGGTGCCTTGCTGGAATGGATTGGATATTGGCCCGCTTGGACCGTGCCATTGACATTGCTAGCTATCGACTTCATTGCTCGACTGGCCATGGCAGACCAGCCAGCGGCCTCCAAGACAGCAAAAGCTAATCCTGCGTCCCACGAGCCAAGCGATGATGAACCACTCTTGGCAGACTCGACCAACGACAACGATGAATCGAAAGGTGGTGCTTCACAAGGCTTCTACTCAATCATGTTTCGCCAGGGAAAGGTCTATGCGGCGATCTTCAACGTTATCGCCTTTTCCACAATTCTTTCTGGTTTCGATGCCACCTTACCCGTCCATCTGAGAGACGCTTTTGGATGGGGACCGGCACCAATCGGATCAATATTTCTTGGCTTACAGATACCTGCAATGTGCCTTGCACCTTTCGTCGGTTGGCTACGAGACCGCATAGGTCTCAAATGGCCTACAACAATCGGATGGGCCTTGACAGCGCTGTTGCTCTGGTTCGCCGGAGTACCAGGCGACGCTGACTTTCTTGGATATGGTTCCGATGCTCGAGGTCAAGGCGCTTTTGTGGCCTGCATTATCAGCATCGGTATAGTGTGGTCATTTGCCCGCGGCGCTGGCACATTTCAACTGAACGGTAAGGCCCTTGTACGTACGGCTTGTCTCACTAAAAGTACTGACCAATTCGCAGCTATTCTGCACGATCTCCGAGAAACAAATCCTGACGTTTTCGGTCCTGGTGGAGGCAGCTCTCGCATGTTTTCGCTCACAGAGGTCTCCTTTTCCATGGGATTAATGTTAGGTCCACTCATTTGTGGATCTCTAGCAGACACAGTTGGGTTCTACTATACCAGCTGCTTTATGGCTGGAACCTCGGCATTTGTAGCAGCGACTTCGTTTTTCTTCTTTACACACAAATCCCGGGTAATGGACACTCCAAGCCTAGCTACAGACTGAAGCTAACGGGTGCGTACGAATCGAGGTGTTCAGAGATCGTCTCCTTGTAGTTGTGCAGAGAAGCTAATCACAACTCAGGTGATAGAGTAGAAGGTGAAATGACTTCACAAATTCCAAGGCGCTATTCAATTGTCAACAAAAACGCCACCAAGCCATCTCCGATGTACGATGGACATCGGACCCGGAGCGGAAGCAAGGGCGGATCTAAATACAACGAAAGTGTTTGGGGTCGAACAAAACTGGATGCCAGGATATCGCAGATCCATTCTCTGTGTTTTACTGGCTTTATTCTCGGCCAATGCTGGGCAAGTCGTTCTCTTATGAAGACACCACCCCATGGCATTATCATGACTTGCGCTCAAGACATGGGGTATGGTTCTGTTCGTGCGTTGGATGCCACTCGTCGGCCATCATCGCTTCACTGCCAAAAGGCTCGAGCGGATGACGCCCTGTCTCAGCGTGGAATCCACGTTGCTGTGCTGACCTCGTTCGTGGTGAGGATGCCTGCGGCATGTGATGACGCCAATCAATGAGGGTTGTTCGGTCCAAGTGAGTCGGAGAGTGAATACAAAAAGCGCGACATCTACTATCATGTTTGTCTCTTTCCTCGTCACCATACTGATCTACTAGTTCATCCAAGACACTCTCTCACACATCAGGCTATAGAAATGCATTTCCACAACATCGCTACATTGCTCATTGGACTCGTTAGCAGTACTACCGCATTCACTCCCTCCCCAGGCTGCGGCAAAGCTCTTGGTGCTGGTATCAAGACAGGCGGCACTGGATCAAGCAACAGTCTCACTCTTACCTCTGGAGGTCGCTCTCGCTCTTATCTGCTGCACATTCCAACGAATTACAACATCAACCAGGCTCGAGGCCTGATTTTCAGCTTCCATGGGCGCGGAGGAAGCTCAGCGAAACAAGAGGGATTGAGTGGCTTCTCAGACCCTTACTTTAATAAGGACAATCTCGCAGTCTACCCTCAGGGTATCAGCGCTCAGTGGCAGGGAGATCCGGCGGCTGACACCTCAATCAACGACGTTCAATTCACGCTTGATATGATCACTGCTATCTCGAATCAGTACTGCATCAATACTGATGCCATCTACTCGACCGGAAAGTCGAATGGCGGTGGCTTTAGTTTGAATGTTTTGGCTTGTGATAACACTGCAAGCAAAAAGATCGCTGCGTTTGCAAGCAATAGCGGAGCGTACTGTAAGTCAGAGCTGTGTTCACCCTCACTTCAGGCTACTGACGAACAGCAGACCAGACATTGCAGTCGACGGGCTGTCGTCCGGACACTGTCGCAATTCCGTGCAACCCAGGTCGTCAAGTTCCAATCCTAGAAATCCACGGCAGCGCTGATGATGTCATTGCATTCTATGGCGGCGAGCGTCGTGGTAGATGCCTTCCTTCCGTGAATCACTTCATCATGAACTGGGCATATATCAATGGTCTTGGCACTACCAATATTACGACCAAGCCCTACGATACTAGTGTCCACAAGCACGAATTCGGCGACGCTGTCGGCAAGAGAGGCCTTGTGACCAACTATTGGGTATACAACCTGGGTCACTCTTGTGAGTAGACCTTTAGGCAACAGCCTCATCCTGCCGCCTTGTAGCCCTCTTGTCTTACTCTACCTGCTTCAATCAACTCACCTAGATACGAATCGCTTTCCTCGCTAGGGCTTATGCTAACTCTTCTACCCTTCACTTTTAGGGGCAAGCACAGTGCCGAATTCCGACTCGAGCACTCCCACGTTCTTCAATGCTACGACTGAAATGATGAACTGGTTCAATAAGTACACGTTGGCATAGAGGTGCTTCGACTCAGACCACATTACAGAAGACAACACAGCTGCCGAGAAATGAAAGTCACAATATGGAGTATTCTTAGCATTCAATCTTTTGTCCTCAGGCGAACTTAAGCAAGTTTCGGTGCAGCAAGGACCCTGCATAAGAACCAAGTACCGGTTGCTACGTTCCATTGACAAATCTCTCCAACTCCTGACATCAAACCTGCATCAAGCAAGGACAACAGAAGAAGCTGTAAGAAAACAAGACACGCTCCTTTTACCCACTCTTTCTTTCTTGTAATTTTCTTATTCATTCGCAAAGATACTATATTACACTTCTTCTTTCTCCGGCTGGTCCGAGCTCAAACTTTAGTTTCTTGTTGCCAAACTCATGATCCCTGGAAATATACATCTGAAACCACCGAGCAGCAGACATCATCCCTTCCAGAAGACTTCTATTCTCGATTAACAACCACATCTGTCGCATCCGAGTCTATCGCGGCGGTGGAAAGCAACTTGAGCAAAGGCTAAGGCTACGGGAAATCAAACCCAAGGCTGCACCCGGGAAATCATACGCCAATTTTCATCCGCAGATACCAAGACAGGTCCGAGTCCGAGTTGTCACAGGATTCTGTGGCGAAGGAGTGTGACGGTCAGTGTCACTTCGTCACAAGGTACTTCTTCAGCGATTATTGTCACGAGCGCGGTCATCAAAGCCAGGGCTTGCGACACTGCGCAACAATTTTTCTTCCACATTCTGTCTTTACCGACGACATCAGGCCACAGCAAGAAAAAAAAAGATCAGCAAAGCGCATACTACTCGCAAGACGATAAGGACGCAAGCGCGTTGGAAGGAATAATAGGCAACACCTATTCTAGTCCCGAGCTCCAAAATTCACGGCGGAGAGAGAGAGAGAGAGAGAGAGCATACAAATTCCAAGGCTTCTTTCGCAACTTTTGAAAAAAAAAAAAAAAAAAACTCAGCCTGAACACAACATCGCATCAACCCAACTCGAAACCCACAGAACCAGATTCTTCAATCGAGTCGAGTCAAAGATCCAAATCTCAGCGGAGAAAGCGACGCTTCTTCACTACAAAACCCTCGACCCTCGAAACTAAAAATCAATACAAAATCTCCGCACCTCAACTCGAATCCTCGCTAAAACACACCTTTAGAGTAACGTGAGAGGTATCGAGTGAGTATACGTTACTATCCTCACTTCGTAACTCAATCAACCTCTCGATCCGAAGCGAAATGGCTTGGATATGCTGCCTCTGCTCCAACGATAATTCCAGCCGAGGGATAATTTGCAGTAAATGTCGACATAGCACGTTACTTTGTTTGGGATGTTTTAGTTATGATAATGGGGTTGCTTCGCATAAGAAGGAGGACAAATGCGAGGGTGAGGTTATGATAAGAGGGCCGCCTATGAGGAAGAAAGTGAAGCTGGAAAGGAAGCGATGAGTCCTTGGAAATCGCCTTCGTCAATGCATTACGTTACGTTACATGTACAGCAGAAGAAGACGAAACGCTCGCACGCTCGCTCGTCACATTACCAGCCAACTCACACCTATCCAGCCACTGATGCCAGTCATGCCGATGAACAAGACCAGAACGCCGATCAAAACTCCCGTACCGACTCGATCTCCCGCATCTCTGAAACCAGCATTTGCAGGAGCGGGCGAAGATACAGCCGTATTCCGTCCGAGAAAGATCCAGAGTAAAGTCGCCGCGACGGCTAAGAGAAGGACCAGAAGTAGCGCAAATAGAATGCGAGAGATCGACCATCCAACCACGAATTCCAGACCTTCGGAAGGTTCTGAATCCGTCTCAAGACGTGTCAAATCCTGCTTTTCCATATGCTGAGGTGGTTTATCGAGATTGCCAGCAGCTGCTAATTCTCGTGCCCATTTCACGTACGGCACGCGGCCTTTGCCGAGCGCCGGCCTTTGATAGTAGGTGTAAGCTTTCTCCACCGAAAGTCCTGCTGAGCCCTTCCAGCTGGCAGGTCGAAGGCCTGGACTTGAAGGGATCCAGCCGTATTGTGCATCTGCGGCTTTGGTAGCAGGTCCTTTGAGTGCAATCCTGGTCAACTTTCGAGCGCTAAAAAAGCGAAAAGGGCCTGCCAGTGACGCATAGGCAGCTCGAAGTTCGTTGAAGAAGTTCTGATCGTCAAAAGCAACGTTGCTAGCTTTCTCTTGTGCCCCGGGAACAGAGTACGTGCTTTCAGAAGCTTGTGCCTTTTCTGACGGGATCCTAAGACCAGTTGTTCTGGTGCTACCATTTCGGTAGCCTCGACGAATGCTGAGAATGAGGAAATTCTCGGTGTCTTTGGGTAAAGCGCTGTCCTTGGGTAGAGAAGGGCTTTTGTAGAAAGGATACGGTGTTCGTTGAGGATTTTCAGGGAACTCTCCTCTATCTGCAGAGGCAAGTGGAGGTGGTCTTACCACAGAGACCTTCTTCTTGGAATTTATGCTGAGGCGCGGCGGGATCTGAGAAGCTCGTGGGTTGTTTAAAGGGTCTAGTCGTGCAAGTTCGGGATCTTCAAGCATCGAATGCAGATATTTGTCGTATGCAGCAGCATGAATTCCCAATCTCTGTTCAAAATTGTCGTGATGCTGCGACATGCGCGCATCTCTTTCATGAGGTGGCCTGTATTGATCTCCGGATCGTGTCGAATGAGGAGAGCCATATAGGCCTGACGTTCGGAAGCGCGTAGTTGAGGAAAGGCGAATAGCTTTCGCTTGTTGTGGCGTGCTAGCTTCACCTGGCAGAAACTCTTCCACGGAACCATTGAAAGATGTATCAGGCGTGGCAGTGGCGCGATCTGGTACTTGCTGGTTCAAGTTGGAGTCTATTCGCTCATAGCCCTCAGACCGCGGCTCCTCAGGTCTGATGCTCACTCGTTTAGGCTCGCATTGTGACACCATCATCTGTGTGGACGAGATTGGACGTTTCTTCTTGCTTGGTGAACCAGATCTTCCAATTACTGCTTCGAGATCTCCAGAAACAGGAGGTGGGGCTTCCTCATCTTCCGAAGTATCGTCGAAATAGTCCGTCGTCCTGTGACCGAAGTCTGCTTGACTGTCTATGTTCTCCATCTGGAGCCCAAGACCACTATGCTCTGGATGCATGCTGCGAGCTGGACTCTGTGGTCCTTCCATGACCTGCGTGTATCGTCTTGGCGAGTTTGAAAATCGAACACCTTCTGTGCTGGCGTGTATGTTTGACTCCATCGAACGCTGTACGTTTGTCTAGCTCTCAGGATATGCTAGTCGATTGCGTTGTGCTGCGGAAGCTTCTGGCTGCTGCAAACCTCTCTCAAGGGCGACAGGTTGCTAATCGAACGTAATCGAGGTGTTGTTACCTGCACGTAGTCAACGGGGTCTGTCAGTCTGCATGAGCGTCGTTTCCATGTTGTGACCTGTCGTCGAAACAACGCCCGCTGGAATGCGGATGGAAATTGACCGAGGCCAGCATGACCGCATCAAGTAGTGCAGTTACACAAACTGCGTTCGGTCGCACACTCTAGTCCATGAACCTGCCGCCGCAATAAACGCATACGTCGCACGCCGCGAACAGTAGTTGAGCCAGGGTTGTTGTCGTTCGTGCAGTAGTGCTTCCACTACGCGAGATCTTGACCCACGTGCTATTGGCCGGGATTGTAGATTGATCTGCTCCGGGTACCGCCGCAACAGGCACAGCAGCCATTTGCTTTTTTGGCTGCAAACTCAGCGACTTCGTTTCGTCTAGATACTGCAACCCACAGATGCCGCAATGTTTGGTACTTCCGGGTCCCTGGATACTGAGGAGCGAAAGAGCACAGCGAGCGAACTGATGTTCCTTGGCACACCGTGCCCACTTAAAGCTCTCGAAAGGAATTGACTCGTGGCATATCGTGCAACGCTCAGACCATGTCTTTGCAGATGCAATCTAGGGAGAATGTCAGTGACTAGGGTGTCAATGTGGGCGTCCAACAAATCTGCTCACCAGATCGCCAAGAGCATGCTTGGCATCCACTTTCGACAAAGCCAAGTCATAGAGATTGCAGATGTCTAGGCTGAGCCTGTCAATCTGCAAGCCTACGGCGGGAAAGCTTAAGAAGAGCTTCGTTATATGGTCAGTGACGAATTTGATGGAATCTGGTGAACTGCAGCTGCCGCCATCGATCAGAGCCATCGTAGTGTTCATCTGCATCTGTCGAAGCTCGGTACTGTAAATCATGGTTCTAAGTGATCGCAACAGGTCGTCGACATTCGTATGCGAGGCTGGATCCTGCGTTGTAGGCTGGACCTTGGGAGGCGTCTGGCATTGACAGTGTCGCATGTAGAAGCTTAAAACATCCATGGAAGTGACATCTCCCAGAACGGTCTTCCTTATGCTCTCTGATGTGATACTGAGAAGAGTGACTTGGTCAGAAGAAATCACGTAGGCAATCGTGTCTGCCGGATGCATGCTCGCACAGGTCGCGATGAATCCACCCAGTGGCGAGGAAGCCATGCCCCAGGTGCGTTCCTGGACTTTGCTAGCCAAATCGTGTTGGGCACCATAAGATGACTTGTACTCAAGTATCGCGTCCTTCCATTGGGGATTCTCGTGTGGTTGAAGCTCTTTCTCATCTTTCGAAACACGAAGCGATGCCGTTGCAGTAGTTGTGGTTGACATTTGAGATGCAATGTGCAGTGCGTCGTCAGTAATGGCTGCACCTGCTATCGGATCCCATCTGTCATCAAGGTGGTGCGACATTTGGTCTTGGTCTGGCGTGACATGGTACACGATGTCCGGACCAAATGCGAGCATCGCGCCGCGCTGCAAGAGTAGTGGTCCGGCTGCGTTAGATAAATCGTGAACTTGTTTCTCACCTGACACAGCTCTCACAGCCTGGGCAGAAATGGCGCGGATCTTGGCAGAGAAAAGCTTGCCGCCGGCGATGTAGGAAAGAGTCGAGGTGTTCTTGCCCCCTGATTCATCCGGTTGCCACGAACTCCAGGCGATATGACTGACACGGTGAGCAACGCTGATGTTGTCGGTGACGAGCATTTGGCACTCCAATTTTCGGCCCAAGCTGTCACACTCTGGCGAGCTGATATGGAGCAGCAGAATATGGTTTGCTTCTGTAGCGACTGCGAGGAAATGGCTGCCATGGAAGAGATGTTCGTTGTGGCGTTCGCTGCCTGAATGCAGAGCTGGACTCCATGCGAAGGCAACGATGCGCTGCTGCACCTGGGCTTGCTCCGAGTCATCGGCTTGGCCACGGAGATGCTGCTTGTAGTATGCGCGAACGGCATGGTTGATGATGACGTTCCGCTTCCAGTTGGTGGGAAGGTGTACTTTGCCCGAAGGACTCCAGAGTGACAGCACATGGTTACTGGTGAGCACAGCCAGAGCACACCTCCCGAATCTGGCCAGGCCTGGAGGTGACCATTTGGCGGCCTGCACCTGTCGCAGTGCAACTTCCTCGCCTATGGAGAAGGCCTGGTCTGACAGAGGCTCAAAAAGCGGTAGCTCGGCAAGGGTGAAGGCGTTCACCTGGACAAGAATGGCGTCCCAGAATGGTGCATGCGAAGCGTGTAGTCGAGGAATGAGGATGCTCACGTTCTCTCCGGCCACCACGGCCATGTGATTGTCCAGCGACCAGTCTATGCAGTCCAGCGCGCTCGGCCAGAATGGCAGAGTGATGGAGCAAGCCATGCTATGTTCCACGTGCTGGCGAGGACTGAGGAGCTTGAGATTGAGGTCGAAACAGAACGCGTGTTGAACGCGTCGAAATGCCGGGATATTCTATCGGCGGCGATTGAATGCGCTTTTGAGAATCGAGATGGGTACGACCACTTACCTACACCATCGCACAATCCGCTCTCACATATAGTGTATGAAGCGAAGTGAGAAAGGAAGGAGACTCAAGTGTTGTCGTTGGCGACGGCTGCGGGATTGAAACCTGGCAATCTTGCCGAGCGCCGAGAACCCTCCCCTCCCGAGCAGAACTACATCGAGTGAGATTCCCACAGTACCTCCTCCATGGGACGATAGCATCAATCAACAGCGACAGATTGCTGGCCACTGCAAAGGCCCAGTACACACATGCAAGCCGAGCTTTGAGAAGTGTCGTCACTCTCACCATGGTGCTCTCCTTCATTCTCATTCAAAACCGCCAGTAAGAATTGCCCTTACCACCCCCAGCAACCAGCTATTAATGTTTCTGCGTAGGGGCAAGACTCGGCTCGCCAAGTGGTATTCGCCTTATACCGACGACGAGAAGATTAAACTTAAAGGCGAAGTCCACCGCCTCGTTGCGCCGCGAGACCAGAAACACCAGTCCAACTTCGTCGAGTTTCGTGGATCCTCCAAAGTCGTCTACCGTCGCTACGCTGGCCTTTTCTTCTGCGCCTGTGTCGACGCCAGCGACAATGAGCTCGCTTACCTCGAGGCTATCCATTTCTTCGTCGAAGTCCTAGATCAATTCTTCGGCAACGTCTGCGAGCTAGACTTGGTCTTCAATTTCTACAAGGTTTATGCCATTCTCGACGAGGTCTTCCTGGCAGGCGAAATCCAAGAGACAAGCAAGCAGGTGGTGTTGACGAGATTGGAACATCTGGACAAGCTGGAATAGAAGCATGGAAGCGGTCTGCTCTCGCTGTAACAGATTCTTATGGACAAGGAAGGGGTGGAACATGCACTCAATGGCACGAGGCAGGTCGCGCTTTCGAGCCTTCTTGTTCATGGCAGCAATAGATGCAGATGTCATGCGTCTAGTAAAACATAGCAGGAACTTCCGTGGACGATGTCGTCGTATTCAAAGCCACTGTTGCTACAGTCTGGGTCAACAACTTCGCTGCGGAGCAAAGCGCTATCTCTGGACTCTCTGACTACTCCTGGCTCTCGTACGAATACAGTCCCCATTTCATGGAATTGTGGAAAGGCATTGTGCAGACAACATTTGATGAACTCCTCTCCAGTCGTGGTCTCAGTACAACTGGCCTCTGCCCTCGGAATTTGACCATGTCAGGATACATCGGAGAACCAGTTTACCTCGAAGCTTCACAGCAGCCTCCAGGGCACTAACTTAGTCGTCTTCGCTAATCCGCCCTTGTCCTGGTTTCCACAACGACGACAGCGAGCACCCTCTCCATGCACGGTTGAAGCTCTAGTTTCCCAACACGGTCTGAGGCATTGGACAGCCACAAAAGCAAACTGCCAGGCCACTCTGCGTGAGAGTGAAGAGACGGTGCAACAGAACATGGCCCACAGCATATGGTAGTACTTGCTGTGAAGAGCTGAGAAGCGTACATGTACTGTACGGTTCTGGTGGCATGGTCGTGATATGCCTCCTCAAATGGCAAATTTGGCTACACTCGAACATGTCCGGCTCAGTCTGGTAGCGATCACGTCGTTCAACAGATCTTCGAGAGTATTCAAGCACATGAACGCACATCGCAAACTCTGCCGGTTTCATCCGAGATCCTTTGACGTGATCGTCGGCGAGATGGAGGTCGTGTAACGATATCAGATTGTGACGAATCAAATAGAGTTTAGCTGGCGCATCCTTCAGGGCCTCGGCAAGGAGTCAAGGACTGGAACACTTTACTAGCGTCGCGGACTCATCGTACTCCATCTCCCGGTGAGGTCCAGCCGTGAAGAACGCGTCTGGAGCTTAATACACACATTGCAGACGCTTTGACGACCTGCTGAAGGATTCACAGACGACATTTGATGGAATAGAATACCACAGTCCAACATGGGTCTTAGCGACTAGTCGAGAAATGGCCGCGGGCGCTTTGAATGATGTGCGCAGACTGGAAAGAAGACCTCGAAGATGCCGGAAGAGCTGCAATTCATCAGCTTTTCCACCGAGAGACGCGTCGATGCTGGGACTCTGAGTCGAATCCGAAGCCATGCACAGCAACGCGTTCAGGATCAGAAATGGTCCAAACGCGCAAGACAGCGACCGGAGAGCTCCACGAAAGCCGCAACGGAAGCTGAACCCCAGAATCCCCAGTTCTTGAGACTCGTATTTGAGCAGAAGTCCGGGAGGCAGATCAAACGTCAGGAAGCAGTTCCGATACGACACGCGACTAGAGCGAAGAAGCCGCCAAAAGCAGAGCAGGTCATTGTCAAACGTGAGAGTCATTCCTTGAGTGCTTCGCCGGCCGAGCGACCGGACCCTTTTGCTGCGTTTCCCGTACCCATCGATGCTGAGCTTTTTGATCTTTTCGAAGGATATCTTCAAGGCTGGAAATGGACTGAGCATGCCAAGGCCACTATGTTCAATGAGAATGCCAGGAATCCGGCTTTGGTACATTCTTTCCTGGCGATTGCCAATCAGGTCTGGAAGAATGACGAGGAGAAAAGCCAGTATCATGAAAATAAAACAATCGTGCAGATCTCAAAGGACTTGCCAAAACTAAACCTGCTTACCGGGTCTGACCGGATGGAAGCAGTGGGCGCGCTGATGTGGGCCATCATCCGGCTCTGCACGATCAAGGTGAACCAAGGACGATTGGAAGAATCTCTGGTTCATCTCAATGCTCTCGCGACTATTTCACCGACTATGGAAGAATGGAGGACCAGCAAATTTGCACCCCATTTCGAGTCCGCAATTGCCAGTCTGCTCCTGGCCAATTTCTCACATTCGGATAGAGTTCAGCCTTTGCTGCACCTGCCATTTGGCCCTATGCACACGAGAGCAGTGGAAGATGTGCAAGCACAAGGATTCATGGTTCCACAAGACGCTGCTATGCTACAACCTGCTTGCCAAGAGCTGATGCCCGACATGCTTACCGATGCTATTCTTGCTCTCACAGCTCTTTACAACACAATCGCCTCAACATCGGACACATCGCTCCCTCACGTCCATACTGGAAAGCAAGCAAGCTTAGGTATCAAAGCTGCATTACGCTTGGCGAAGCAGACCACACCACGATCAAGCCCATTAGACGACTGGGACTGGCTTCATGAGTTTCAAGAGTGCGTGCGACTTAGCGCTCTTCTCTTCACATGGACCTTTGGACGCAAAGTCGTGAACCTATCAGAAGCCATCCTCTCGGCTCAAAGATACATCAGAGCCTTCCTCACCGAAGACATCATCCACCGAGCATTAATGGCATCAGCCAACAGCCAAGCCGTGATGGACCTAGCACTATGGCTCCTGCTGATCAATGGCTCAGCAGCGACAATTCAAGCCGACACAGAGCACTTTGCCGAACTCATACGCACTTTCGTCCCAGGCGCTTCCTACACACCATATACAGAGATACGAAAACTCGGCACCAGATTACCTTGGATCGAAACTGCGAATCGTTCATCTACGGAAGAGTTCTGGGATTCTGTCGCCATGTATGGTGGAACGCCCGAGAGTCAGAATTCTACGGCGTCGAGTAATGCTCCTGGATGGCTTTTGCAGGGATATGCAAGCGTTACGTCGACACCCAGGCCACCGCCGAGCGTATCATGATTGAACAGAAGGCGTTGAGGAGAATGGTCATATTGGGATACCCTTTTGGTTAAAGTATGAGATATGATGACAGTAATAATGAACCTTTTGCCGTTTTGGCCCACGATTTGTGAAGTTGCAATAGATCAGACCTTCAATGCGACGTACCAGTCTCAACAAAACGCCGTTTCCAACGCCTCGCAATGATTTCAAGCAAACTCGATGCAACCCATGCATTCGAACCAAGATCTCGTTATCATACTCTGTCTCTGAAAGTGTGCTCGGGAGGACAGCCCGCAGATCATCATCTTCAAGACCTGCCCGCCAACCAGCCGAACTTATTCAATCTGACTCGTGGCAAAACACCCACCAGAACCAGCACACTGGCCACAACTACCGCCCAGAGCTGCATCCCAAGCACATTCACATTGAAAGTGGTATACGTGCTCGCACAAATCGTCGCCAGCAACAAAACCGTAGCAATGTATCCCCCAACTCTGTGATACTTGTACAAACTCTTCGCGTTCTCTACACTTCCGTAGAGACGTGGTGTGAAGTACTGCGTGATCCCAACGAATGCTTGGAGGATGATGACGATGTAGGTGACGAGACCGAGAATCGCGTGTGGGGATTCAAAGTGTGTGCCGTTGTGGTCGAATTTGTTGTATTCGATTACGATAAGGCCGGCAATGGCGGCTAGAATCCCGACGTCGTTGAGGGCGGCGTGGACGTAGGTGCCTTGCTTCTTTTGCTTCGCTGTGTGGGTGGGTTGCAGAACGAGGACGCCTTGGATGAGGAAGAGGAAGGCGGCGGAGTTGAGTAGCTGGGAGGTCGTCAGTCGATGCTGTGGATGAGCAGAGAAGGTAGGTGATGCTTACTGGATGTGCTGAGAATAGTATCAAGTCGTTGGAGAAGACTGCTCCCCATACTATCGCGGCGATAATCCATGCTCCAGCTTGAGCGACAACTCCAGTGCCTGTGTCCATAGTCGTGAGTGAAGGATTTCACCAGCTGGATTCAGCACAGGATGGATATATTCTGCGGCTTACCGAGCACGAAGTTATGGTATAGCGGCCTCCCCTCCGGCAAGCTCGCATCTCCTCTCTCGCCCAACAGAGGCTCTTCCTCGCTCGTTCGCTGTCTAGGAAAGTCCGCCATCTTGCCTCTACTGTATCTCTTTATCCGCCTTCCACACCAAGATCGATCGGATTCAAAGGTCCCCAAGAAGTCGTGTTCTCGGCACAAGGAAAGGGTTCGGCGATCAGATCAGATAATGCAATAGGTGAAGCGGGAAGTATACGGCATCATCAATGGGAGGCAGGCGGGGGATCGAAGACGTAATGCCGTGCGTTCGTCGAGAACAGGCTGCAGGCACCCACCAGTCAATTGTCGCGCATTGATCATCCGGCGCTTATTTGGTCAGGGTGAGGAGGGCTCGGGAACTAGATGCCGATGCCAAGACATGTTCATCAATTTCTCCATCAATACTTCATGGGTTTCTTAATCTTGAGCATGCCCAAGGATATGAGCACGAGGCCGATCATCTGGAGCAGGTCTTCAGTAATCCGCCTCGAGCTATACTATCCAACATCGTCCGCCATAGATCGCATTCCTCAATTCTCCGGGCAACTTGAAGAAGAAGAGACTGTCGAGCTGGCTGTCGAAGGAACTGTCCGCATTCAGCGTGAGCAACTTCTTGATGTATCTGAAAGTAGGCATTCTGACGCGCAGAGAAATCTGATGCTTGCATGAGATTGTAGAAGAGGACTAAAGCTGCGCGTTTTGCTTGGTAAGAATTTTGATCTTTCCAGTCAGGCTGAACGAAATCAGGCTGACAAGTTACGCTTCTGAGACGTCGCCTGTCGTAACGCGCCACTTCAAACCTTGACAGCCATGCAAACGGCAGTGCCTACCTTTCCCTCGGATAGCCTGCTCCACGCGCCTTCTAGTCCTTCTTGGCCTGATATACCTTGTAGCCACTCAAGTCGCATACCATTCAATCCTCCTCTTCCTACGAAAGCGTCCCATGCGGCATACCTGTCCTGGAAATACGTCTCTGCGCCAATGAGGTCCAGAGCAGTGTCACGAATACCGGACATGTTCATCTGAACGCGCTCTGACATCGCAGCTCGCGTTTTCGCCAACTCAGCCAGCTCAGAAGGAGAATGGGCTTTAGGTTCGCCTCCAATGCCAAGGACTGTGGTCTTGACACCCGGTAAGTTCGTTTTGAGCAAAGACAAGAGCTCGTTCAATGAATTGCCGCGTGATGTGAAGTCGAGGATGATGATTCGAGAGGGGGCGTGAGCATTCAGCCAAGATGTCGTTGCTGGCGAAGTAAGCGAAGAATACTGCACAACCTTCGTCGGTACCGCTGTATCCTGATCAACAAGACTTTCATCAACTGAAGACGTAACAGCCATGAAAGCCAATGGACCGGTGCGAGCTCTGCGCTCGTGCATCAAGCAATCCGTGCATGCTCTTGCGGTCTTTCCTGATGCGCTCATGCTGATGACCACGGTGGAGCTCAAGTCTGCATCTGCTTGTGACCATGATCCTCCACTACTTCCCAGTGGATGAATGGGAGTCTCTGTGTTGAAAATGAAGCGGTTTATGGCCCAGCCAGATTCATGCATAGTCCCAGCACTAGAAGCCCAGCCCAGCTTGTTCTTCAGATCTTGATCCGATTCCAATTCTTGAAGTCTCGGATAGCTCGGTGAAGTGCTGCATCTCTGGTATAAGTTCATCATGCCAGTTCTGTAGCCGCTTGCCTCAATATAATGCCCCTTTGCGCCATCCTCCACTTTCTTCAGCTTGAGATCGGTTGGCATATCGTGGCTCGCCCAAAAGCCCCAAATCAACTCCCCTTCTTGCAAACCTTCCACCTTACTCTCCGTGACCACGCCGTAGCCCCAGACTGGCACAATGCCATACTTGTCGCTGTTGCTATAGGGCGAAGGAAGACCAGCGGGAAGCAGAAATCCCGTCCACCATTTCAGGAGAGTGCCGCCTTTGGCGTAAGACAGGTTGTTGGACGTGAGGCCGACTACGAGGCTTCGAGCACGGATGTGACCGGGCGGGAGTTGTGGAATGGTGGTCGTGAGTGAAACCGTAGCGTGAGAGGCTATGTCGTTCTTCTTGACCACATGAATGCTGTACGTGTGAGAAGACATGTTGATTTCGGAGCTGTGCTTTCAGTGTGACGAGTCGTAGCTCACAGGTTATTTGTATATCATATCGTTCAGACCTACATGTTACTACGCTTTGGTAGGATTCGCATGATGTGAGTCAACGTTCTCCTCGTCGCTACGTGCGCAAGATGTTTGATTGGAAATCATCTTCCTGGTTTCTTGAACGATGACGAGCATGTGTAGGTAGGAGCGTGAGGCTGAATGGGAAGGATCGACTGCGATTGCCTCGAGACGAGGGTTCCAAGAAGTTTTGACTTCACGTGGAATAGCAACAGCACGTCTGCTAAAAATCTACAACGACAACACAGCAAGACACTTGATCCGAAAACTCAGTGCAGCAGAAAAAATCAAGCAAAAATCTCAAGCATCAAGCGCCCTCCCTCTCAACCGTTGTGCATCCGATGTTGTCCAGCAATACAATCTATGACCACGAATTTCGCTCTGGCATCGACCTCTAGGCTTCAATCACTTTCCAGGATAACGCATAATGCATCCGCTCCTTTTCCCCTTTGGCCGAGGAGGCTCATCAATTCCTCAAACCGCACCTGTGGTTTTGTTGATGATGTAGGCTTCAATGTCATCAGAAGTCAGCTCTTTTTCCGAACGTAAATGGGTCGCAGCAACAGCATGTGCTGAACAGAAGTTGGCGACGACGTTGCAAGCGAAGTTTGAGATCGTAGGCGATATACTTATGCCTTGCGGCGGGATTGCAGAAGAAGAGGTCAATGCTTCTATTCCTTCACTTCCGTTTGTCTTGGCAAGAACCCACATTACGGCCAGCCTGCGTACGAAGCACTAGTCTATGCTGTGTCTGAAACAATCTCTGTCGAAGCCTTTATCGAACCCGACGTTCCTGCTCGCATCTTTACCTTCCGCCAGAACGCGTCACTGGAAGTCTCCGGCAGTCCTTTAAGACGAATGGCCACACGATCCGCAATTTCAACCAAAGGCTGCAACATGTCGAGTGCATGATCATCATCTGCAACTTTCCTATCTCCAGCGATTGGTTTACGTTCAGAATTGTATTCGACAGTAAGTTCCAGCGAGCGAAGGTTTGAACATGTACTGATCAAAATTTGTAGGACATGTCGTGGCACTTCTGTGATCCAAGACCAGGGTTGTCGAAGCAAAAGTTCGTCACGGGTCAAGTCGAGCTGCAAACGAACACGTAATTTCTGAACCCGAGAGAGATGTCGAAAGTGCGGCTCGCAATCTGGTGGGGACAGATTCTGTGGCCATGATATGCGCGAAGTTGGGAACAGACCTCGTAGCCATGATGTGCGCAAACCTCCTGTGAAGAGGATTTCATCCCAGGAGTTGAGGTTCATTCGCCGAGTTGTTTGTGGACGTGCGATTGGCTCCGCAGATATGCACCAGCGGTGTTTGATCTTGACGCGCAAATCTACCACGCTCTCAGCGTGGAGCACAGATACGGCCTCGCTGTGTATCTGCCTACAAACACGCAATAGCTCAGGGTAAGCTTTGCGCGCTTCTGCCTTGTCGTGGACGAGCAGCATCTCGTACACGACGTTTCTCATCTCTGCCGGTAAGTCGAGAAAGCGGAAACCCTGCATCTTGCGATCCAGTGCGCGAAGCCTTCGAATGACTTGTTTCTTCTCAGGTGCTCCCCTGCCGCCTCGATCTCTGAGAAAGCGACGAAGTTCATCGAGACTGCAAGAGCTATAGTCGAGCGCGAATTCTGGTAAAGTCATTTTGATGATATTTGGAAGTCTTTCGTGTGAAGTGCTGACAGTTCGATGGTGAGTGTTAACATTGAATGTGGGATGTCAAGAAGATAAATAGCTGGCGCTACAATGTTGATTGCAGCCGTTTGTCTGCTAGTTCCGTGAAGTGAGGACTAGAAATGGCTGGAATGGTAGAGCAGTTAGGCAGGCCTGTCCTTCTCACAGCTCTCTGCCTAGGGTCAACTCTCAGCACATAGTTCCTACCTAGATACTTGTTTCCTCTTGTCAAGGAAAGCTCCCAGGTGCCTCTTGTTCTTTACCTATATGCCGCAAAATCCGCAGCAAAGTCTGCTTCGACGAAAGTTACCAATGATGCTGAGTCCCAGGTACCGAAGCGACCGACACGTACTAATAAGCGTTTTCAAGAAACAGGTCGCCAGTTCGCCTACCCATTCATCTTCGACAACACGAGCAAATCGGCCCGGCTTCGAGGCGAATCTGAATAGAGCGAGCACCTACTAGGCATCCGCGAATCTGAACTTGACCAAGTTTTGTAAAAGTGCATGCGCAAGAGGTGGAAAGAAGAGCTCTCTCGAACTGGTGAGCTTTCGCTTGGGTGCTGGTGCTGGTGCAGATCTTCGATGAAGCAACGCAGCTTTTGATACGTGCAGGGCGTCGTATTTGAGGGTAAATCGGGGAAGAGACTCATTGTGGACGGTTCCAACTTCCGGGAGTCTGTTGGTCTTGTCTAACCTGATTAGCGTGATTGCGTCGTCCGGCAAGAGCGAAGGGACTGATGAAGGTCGAATATCACATACTTTAGCAAACTCAAGGCAAGTGCTTCGAGATGTCTCAAGAAGTTCGCCAAAAGAGTCCATGACTGAAGCGTGCATGCGCAAGACAATAGTTCTGAGCATTATTCGTGAGATATAAGACGATGAGGTCAAATTCCCTGCGAAGACAAAGCATGATCATGTGAAGCAGAAGTGGAATAGAAGACTGGACTGAAGATTTCCTTTTCGTTTTACATCTGTGTCAGATTGTAACCAAGATATGTGATCCACGTGTCAGTCATCTCCATCACAAAGGTGACGACCGATACCTGTCTTTCCCACTGTGCCAGATGAGATCCTCATCGCAGGAGGAAGGCGCGTGCCTCTGTCTAGGCATGCCCATCATCAACACAACAAAGTCGAACTTAAGAACCACAAACGCTATCACTAGATCATCAATCGCCGCTCACTCGCTTTCTTTCAATGCGCACTCAAAGGTTCGCCATGAGTTTGTTGTCCACTAGAAGGAGCACCGTCAGCCGTGATAGGCCTCTCAATAGATAAAGACTTTGAGCCATTGATACCAGTAGCATGTCCAGTGAGTTCCTTAATTTCCTCCCCAATCTTCTCATGTTCCGTAAAGGGGTCATACATCCTAGCACGGATGTATTCATCGAGCTCTTCATCCGAAAGATTTCGGAGAGCGAGTTCACGATCCATGCCGTCCTTTTGTGCGGCACGGATGACAACGCGAGTCACGACGACGGACACTTCGCGAATGCGGCGGATGTCGGGGTATAGCCAGTTATCGGCCACTTCTGAGGGTAAGAGCGATGTTGAAAGACCTTCGGCGGATGCGTAGATCATGTTTTGGGTGACGTTGACCGATTTCGAGAGAATAGCACCGAGGCCGATTCCCGGGAAAACTGTTCCGTGTCAGTATTCCGATTTGCGGTAGACTTGATGTGCGTCTGGCGATACTCACCATACATGTTGTTGCCCTGGCCAGGAGTGAGGTCCTTGCCTTCCCAGTTGAGGGTTGGGAATGGCGAACCGGAAGCGAACAAACACTTGCCCTTGGTGTATTTGATCGCTTCCTCGAATGTGCATTCGGACTTGCTTGACGGGTTGGAAAGTGGGAAGATGACCGGCTTGTCGTTTAGTTCTGCCATGCGCTCCAGAATCTTGGGTGTGAAAGCGCCACCGATTGTGGAGAGACCCATCAGAATAGTTGGCTTGACGTATTCCACAACCTCTTCGAGAGTCTTGTATTGTTGGCCGTTGTTATCGTCACGAGCGAAGTAGAGCTTGTGCTCGGCGAGCTTGCCAGGTCTATCCAGAGCGACCATACCTTGGGAGTCAACGAGCCAGAATCGCTTCCGGGCCTCATCCTCAGACAGGCCCTCCTTCATGAAGAATTCAGTCAGCTGTTTAGCAACACCGACACCGGCACTGCCGGCGCCGAGAAAAACAGCACGCTGATCGGCTGGGGCTACACCGGACTGCTTGACAGCGTTGATGAAGCCGCCCAATATGACAGCGCCGGTACCCTGGATGTCGTCGTTGAACATGGTGTAGGTGTCCTGATATCTTTCGAGAGATGGGAATGGGTTCTTGAAGTCCTCATACTGGATGACAATGCTTGGCCATCGCTCGGTGAGAGCAGCCATCATTTCATCAAGGAATTCCTTCTCCTCTTCGGCAGTGACTTTAGGCCTCCTGCTACCAAGGTATAGAGGGTCGTTTCTGGAAGCCTCATTACTCGTCCCGAGATCCAAGCAGAGTGGGAGTGTCCTCAATGGGTGGATACCGGCGCAGGCAGTGTAGAGGGAGAGCTTTCCGACTGGAATTCCCATGCCGTTTACACCAAGGTCGCCAAGACCCAAGATGCGGGAACCGTCAGTGACGACAGTAATCTCGACATCGTGAGGCCAGTTTTGGATGACCGAGTGAAGATGCCCCTTGTCCTCGTACGAGAGGTAGAGACCTGTGTGGTGTCAGAATGTAGGTGTGAGACAGTGCGTACAGCACTCACCCTCTGGCTGTGTGTACAACTCCGACCATCTTTGGCACGCCTCGCCTACAGTAGGGGTGTAAATGAGAGGAGTGAGCTCCTGTCGATTTGTTAACCTCGTACTCTGTTCCCAGCATCTTTCTCAAGGTGTGCTCACCTTGATGTTCTCTGACAACAATCGGTAGAAGAGGTGGACGTTCGTGTTGCGAAGGACGGAGAGATATTGGTACTTCTCAATTGGCGTCTCCCGCGAGTTGAGAATGGCAAGACCTTGCGGGAGGTGTCAGATCACTTTTGCTCATCCGACTCAATGCCTCGACTTTCACTCACATCGCTTGAGCTGGTTCTCGAATGTTTCGACACCGGGAGGAGTCAGACCGTAGGTCTTGAGGTATTTTCGAGTTTCAATGGAATTTGAGGTGTCGTAGTCGGCTCTGGAGGGCCAAGACTTAGCATTGAGTGTCCTAGGTGAAAAAAATCTCATCTTGAATGTCTAGCTAAAAAGAAAACGTACGGAGCTGGGACATGTCTCCTCTCTGGAAGGTGGTGGTGGACCGCGGCATGCTTAAGATTCGCAGCTGGCAAGCTGGTGTTCTTGCTGTGAGTCGCCATTCCCGCAGTCGTCGAGGAAGGTGCGGTAGTCTTGCTAAGGTTTCGTCTTGTGAGAGCTCGATGTTCCGAGGCTCGGCTGGATTGGTGCCTTTTGGAGGGAGTGACGAGCGAAGTAGCTGGTACAAAAGTAGCTACAGCTGATCGAGCAAGACAGGAGGCACTAGAAATGCTAGGGAAAGTTGTGGGGCGAGGGAGAGGCATGAGGAGGAGGGTGGAGGAAATCGGGACGCCTCGGGGTTGATAGCAAGCGCCGCTGTGATCACCAGGAGGGATTGTTGGCAGGTACGGCTCGCGTGTCAGACTCAGTCCGATGGGCTGAGCGGCGTATGAAACGGTGGAATGGAAGAGGATGGCCTTGGTGGCACTGGCGGCCGGTATCGACGGCACTGCAACGCGTCCACGAAACCTGAAGGATGTCAGGCGGGCTGGGACTTTTTTTGGCGTTGCGTTGCCAACGATAAGGCGGTGGAGCAGTCAGGAACAGGATCAGATCTGGGGTAGGCCAGGTCAGCTCAGCTCAGCCCAGCCCAGCAGAGCGTGTGAGCGTGTGAGAAGGCTCGTTGGTGTCAGCAGCATTGGGATCACCCACGAGAAGCGTCGATATTCTCGCTGTTATACGCTCTCGCAGTCCGATACAGGTCGATTTGCACCTCAACTGCATCCCGCATGCCCGGAATGTCTCAGCCAGAGCACGGCGGCAGGATAGCGGTGTGCCGCGCAACAATGGGTGCATTGCATTGCATTGCTCGTTCTGTGGGAGTTTTTTAATTTTCGGACCCTGAATCGTCCGCCGCTCCCCGGTCGGTCACGAGAACGAGCGCCTTTCGGCCTTTGAACGCTTGGAACAGTAGTCTTGGAGCACGGGCGCGGACGGGCAGTGTCGGAGAGCGAAAGCCAATGATGGACGCGGGGCCCTCTGAGCCATAAATAAAGATCAAAACGAAAACGATTGTTTCACGCGCAGCACCGCAGCAGGAAGCTCGAAAGTTCACGATAACGAGCAAAGTAAAAGGACATCCAAGCTTTGGACAAGAGATGAAGGAGAAGGATTGTCACGTTGTGCGCACGTGCAGCAGGTCTTGGTATTCAAATTCGAAGCATGATGTGATGGCGCCTCAGGCCAGCCGGACTGAGCTCCGACCCGCCTGAGTGAGGTCACTGAGGTTCAAGTTGTGAGCAGGTGTGACGTACGCGCCCGCGTTCGCGACTGCCACCCGCGGAGGCGGAGGAGGTGGGAGGAGGCAGAGTGTGTATCTTGGACGACAGCAGGTGCTCATCACCATCGCCACCGCCATGCTCTCCTAGTCTTCATCATCACATCGGGCGAGAGCACTCACTGTACTCCACCATTCGCCTGTTGTTAGAACTCCTGCTCGAAGCTGTTTGAAGCTCTTCTTGTTCCTGCTCTAGCCAGAGTACAGAAACGTTGACACGATGTCGTTCCTTTCATCGTGCTTCGGGCGCGGACATGATATGTCGGAGCGAGAGCCTCTCTTGCCGCAATATGAGCAGGACACAGAACTGCAGCGGAAGCTGGCCCAGAAGCTGCACAGCTACCAGATGTACCGCGCCCTCTCCAGAGGATACATGCCAAGCACCGAACAGATCATCATCAATCTACGAACACTCCTTTCAAGCGATGTCCTCAATGCGGATAACGACGACCTGTCAAACAGTGGCAAGCGGCTGGTAACACAGACCAGAAAATGGATTCAGCAATTTATGGACCTACTTCAGCACAAGAACGACAGAGATCAAATCCAAGACCTGATATGGTTCTTGAGCAAGAGCAGGATATCGGTCGACGTGGACGATATTTCGGTCAAGGCAAGAAAGAGCAAAGCCAAGGCAGATACAATTGCAGCATATCAAAGCCTCCAGACTGTGGGCTCATTACTGCTCACCAACTCTGACTTCCGAACCTTCCTTGCCGACCTCAACATCGTAGGTCGACAGGTCTTCAAGGACGCTGCCTTCACACTTTCGACAGTTGCTGAAGATGCCGGCAAGAAGATTGAGCCTTCAGAAGCGCAGAAGAACCAGATTGAGGAGCCAGGCAATGATGCAGGGCATGCCCCCACCACGAATGAGCTGGGTGAGAATGCTGCGGAAGTTGCGCAAGTTGTCGTGAATGGCACAGCGCAGGTTGCGAAGACTGCCGTAGAAAGTGCAAAGGAAGAGCTTTCGGGTGATGAGGGCAAGACGCTGCTCAATCGACTCAAGCAGGCTATCTTGAAACTGCAGAGACGACCAGACTATTCAGAGTCGGTATCGACGCTGTCTCTGCTCATCAAGAGATACGCTATCGTCTACTCGCGTGCTTTGGAAGAGGTTGGCAAGACTGCGCAGAAAGACGTGCATGAGAATGAAGCTCTCGATCGAGCAATGCACAACATGTGGATTTTCATCACAAGTTTTGGCGACAAGAAGGAATGGGACAAGTCGAAGCAGCTGCTCGACCAGGTCATGAGTCACAAAGAGAAAGACCCCCAATTCGAGAGGTTGATGCAGGATACTGGAGACTCGCTGCAGAAGCTTTTGACTGATCCGGACTTCCTAGATCACGCTGACGAGAAGTTCAACGAGCTGAGGGAAAAGAGTCAAAAGGTTGGCTCGGACAGCGACCTCAGCAAGGACATCCAGGCACTGCTCCACCAAATCCAGGTGACATTTAACAGTGTTCTGCAAGACCAGCATATCCATAAGCTCATCACAACCACCATGCGTATCTTCAGAATCTTGTCACCGCTTGATCGGAACACGAACCCAGAGTTGCTACAGGACTCGATCAACGTATTTGTCCCTCTACTAGTCGCCGCTATCCAATACATCCCGATACCACGACTGGAGGTCAGCACTCCCGAAGCTGACATTCTGCTTGAGAACCTCATCATCGAACCCGGTCATACCGTCAACCAAACCTCCTTCCTACCCTACCGACTGAAGGTGGAGACCTACAACGACCTCGAAATCCGCAAGGCCAAATTCAGAACCACAACCGCAACCACAAACCTCATGACAATCAAGCTCGACGGCCTGTCCCTCCGAGCCGAAGAAATCGGCTTCTGGCTCCGCGCACACAAAGGCTTACTCCGCCTCGCAGATGAAGGAATCGCCAGTTTCGCCCTCGACGAACGCGGCATCGACATCCACATCGACGTAGAAATCTGTAAAGACCGTCTCGAACAAATCCTCACCTTGAAAGCCGTACGCGTCCACATCCACAAACTCAACTACCAATTACGAAAATCCAAATTCTCCTGGCTCATGTCCTGGCTCTTCAAACCTCTCCTCCGCCCCATCCTCCGCAAAACCATGGAAAAACAACTCGCCACCGCACTCGCAGATTTCTTCCACGCCGCGAATCGGGAATTAGTCTACGCTCGTGAACGTCTTCGCGCAACAAGGATCAGCGAACCCAAGGACATTCTCACATTTTTCAAAGCCGTTGCCGCGAGACTGACTCCCGCCGAAGACCCGGATTTGTATACTCGAGTGGGGATCGCGCAGCCTGGGAAAGGTGTTTTCAAGGGAGTTTATGCTCCGGGGAGTGTGGTCAAGGTTTGGAATGAGGAGGCGACGAGGGCTACGGAGAGAATTGAAGAGTTGGAGGAGGCGGGGTGGAGGAATGAGATTTTTGATACGCATGTGCTGAGTTTGACGTGAGGGAAACCAAAGAGCTGCTTCTAATGGGCTAAGATTGATTTTATTATGATATGATATGACGAAGGAAAAGAGAAAAAATTATGTACAGCACGAGGGAACTTGAACTCGGGATCAGATACTGTAGTGTAAGATTGAGAATGCAATGCTTTTCAAGAATCTCGCCACTTATGCACGCTTTCCTTCTCACCGAGCTGATTGCGCTAAATCTCATAGCATTCGACCTGGTAAAGATAGAAAGACAGCTGAAGAGAGCAGATATAGGAAGCTTTCTTTGTACTGACAAGTTCAGAGCACACCACATTAGTGGAATTACTGCTCTGCGAGTATGTGTGGTACTGTACGTATGTGCACTGTTTCTACTATGCATGCATGCACATGCTAAAAAGCCTCATCATCATGAAAGTCATTGCTGAAGGCAGAATCTTGGTATGCCCTGCAAATCAAAGACGCATCACTCCTGTCAGACGTGATGCAATATATGCCGAGCGCTCAAACCATTCTTAAAACGCTTCGCTCAAGCACAAAGCAACTCCTCGGCAAAATCATCCAAATAGATGATCTTGAACCTCCCATCCCAAGCATTAACCCAATCGCTCTTCAAATACGTCTTGCTGATATTCTTGCTCCAAGACACGAGCTCGACGCTCCAACCCTTCCTCAAAGCACGCTCGACCATCGCCATGAAACCGTCGCTATATTCTGCGAGAGCGGCATCGCCGGTCGCGAGAACGATGGTTGATGGCTCCTCATAGTCGAGGAGGGAATGCGAGATTTTCAGATGCAAGATCTCATCGACGCCTTGCTCGATCATCTTGGCAGGTGCAAACTGAGGCAAAGACGTCTCCGTGCTGCTGCCTCCGATGTTGCCAAGAACCGAGTATCGCGCTGTCGGAGAGGTCTGATGCTGCTGAAGTGCGCGATGAACCGGTGGCGCTTTCGCGCGCTTGCCATAACGCTGTGCATCGAGGTCTTTGAAGTAGATCTGTCGTTCTGTAAGTTCACGTGCTTTGTGAACTTTGTCCAGAATATTCATTTCGTAGCCAACATTCTTGGCTGTATCGAATGCTGGTAACCATGGGTTTGAGCCTGCCAGAACTCGCTTCGCCACGGGACGGCGGCGTTCCATGAGTAGTGCCAGGCTATCAAATGATAGGTTCGCTTGAGGCATGTGTTGAAGTGGGTGGATATTTCGGGCTTGTTTGAGTGCATCCATGAAGCCAATGAAAATATTACTGGCATCGACAAAGATATGAATTCCCTTGGGATCCTTGTTGTGAGACGTCATGTTCATGGGCGATATCAGATGCTTCCGGTCCGCAGGAAAGTAATGCATACATCTCATGAGCAGAGCGAGATGGCGATCCTCTTCTGATCGGTTGATGAGGGGTACAATCCCAGCTGGTGGCTTGACGTGAGGGCCAGGGATCAGCTTTGGGGTTGGAGGTAATACTCCAATCTGACTGAATAGCGACGCGGTGGGCTTCGATGGAAGGAGCGCATTGCCTACTTTTGCTGGTTGCACGCCGACGGTCGATGGCACCAGGTTAATATTTTTGACCTTCTTTGGGGTTGTGAAGTTCTTCGACTTTTGCACAGGTTGCGTGTTGGCCGAAGCTTTCTTTCCTGCCTTGGCCGGTGTGAGCGGCGCACTCTTAGTGCGTGGCAGTCCGGTGTTGGGCGATGGTGTAGAAGGTGTCTCGCCTCTCTTAAGGGAGGCCATCGCCAGCTGTACAGCATTGACAGCCTGGGCGGTGATATCTTCATCGTCCGTATTTGGCGGTGTGATCTGGCTCTTCTTGTCTGCTTTCTGCGTGGAACCTGGTGCTGCGGGTGGCTGCGCATCACTCAATGAGGAGACATTTCGCGAGCCCGAAGGATCGTGTATCGTGTATTCAGTCGATTCATATTGCCGTGGAGTGCCAAGCGCACCTTGGATTGGTGCGGTCTTCTTGAATGTCTCTTTGAACTTGTGCTCCAACGGGTGGACGGGATTGGCAGCATCCAATTTCCTCTTCTCGTTCGCAGCTTTAATATCAGCGGCGTACTGCTGAGGTAACGCTCTTGTCGCATTCTGCCAGGCTGCGATAGGGTTGGCTGCTTTCACAGTGTGCGGCTTTGGTGACGGCGCTGGCTCCTCATCATCTTCGGGGCCGACCCGGTCAGCTTGTTGCTTGGCCTGCTCAATTTTCTCTTTCTCCTTCTCTTTACGTGCTTTCCTATTCGCCTTCTTTCTCTGAGTCTTAGTCAGAGGCTTGTCCTGTGCATTGTCCGTGCTCTGTCCGCCTTCCGTAGTCTCTGACACTGAATGCTGACGCTTCGGGAGAGTGCCATTGCTGACAATGTAAGCAGGATCATCAGATGATCCGTCGTTCGCGTTGCTTGTAGCAGTAATGTGCGTATCGTCAGACTGCGGCGTCTGCAGAGATGGCGGGGTCGTGCCTGTAAATCGCCACACTTTGCTGAAGTCACCTAATGTGACACTTCCGTTAGCTAGGACATCTTGGTCAGGGATCTCTGTGTGTTCCAGGCGGGACGCAGAGTTGGCAGCTCTGGTCTTGGCGTCAATGGCAGGCTGCAGTGGCTTTAGCAATGGCTCGTCGGCGGTTGTCGAAGGCGTCGAGGCGGCAAGTGAGTTGTTGTGAAAATCCAAGATGTGTGAGAAATCCCACGGTCCGCTGGCTGATGACGCGGGCATGTAACTGCAAAAATGATCGTGCTATAGCGCAGCACGCTTGCGTTCCAAGATGAGAGCGACTGCAGGCCTCGGGGTGTGTGAAGTGGTGGCGGTGTCGGGGGAGTGAGGGTGCGCGAGGCGAAGGCTCATGCATCAAAGATAATCAAGCGAAAACGACTGTGACAGCGAAGGATAGCTAGAGAGCATCGGCCCTGCGCTCATGTCGTGCTCGCGCAGTGGCGAAGTGTGGTGTTGTCAGTGGTTGTGAGGGTCGAGTTTCAGTCGAAGTCTCGGCCATTGATGGAGTCATCGGGCCGTGCAATCCACTCAGGGTCCAAGCTTCCTGTACAGTAGACATTCACCGACCGTTCCACATCCTTCTCCAGAATAGGAAGTCACCACTTTCACAAGATACGAATCGTCAGTGGTAGAAGCATGATCTTGGCCTGCATGGAGACGTCTGCTGTGCTTTTACCCCCGACCTCTCCCCGCTATGTCCGCTGATTTCTGGGCCGGCTATATCTCTGGAGCCATTGGAATTCTTGTAGGTCCAAGTTTCCTCGATGTACATTGCTTCGTAAATGTGGTCCTGCCTTTACACAATAAGCCACTTTCGAAGCACCTCCTATCAAAGTACATCTTGAAGCCTTGCTAAAAGTCTTGGTTCCACCAGGTCGGCAACCCCCTCGACATAATCAAAACCAAACTCCAAGCCGGCTCTGCAAAGAAAACCCCAGAAATCCACATAACCCCATCACCACAATCCCAAACCTCTCCCCAACACTGGACCGCCTTTGCTCGGGGCGCAGCAGCTCCAATTCTTGGCTACGGAGCTCTGAATGGTACTCCCTCCCCATCTTCCCTTCCCGACCCTCAAACACCCTAGAACTAATCAATCAATCCCCAGCAATCCTCTTCGTAACCTACAACCGCTCCCTCTCCCTCCTCCAAACCGGCTCCCTCTCCACCCTACCTCAAGATCTACCCTCCCATCCCCCCGCTTGGAAAATCTGGACCGCAGGAGCCTTGGGAGGATTGGCAACTTTCGTAATCTCAGCACCCACAGAATTAGTGAAATGCAGAGCTCAAATTTCAAATCCTCCGAAATCATCTTGGTGAGTAGAAGAACCAAAAGAAAAAAAAAAGAAAAATCCCCCGTCCCTACTTACCTCTTCGCTAACCTACATATCCAGGCAAATAACCCAATCCCTCTTCAAAACCTCCGGCGTGCGTACCGCGGTTATCCCTCCTCTTTCTTCCCATCCCTTCTAATCTCCCCTCACAGCTCCGCGCCCTCTACGCAGGCGGCACAATCACCGCCCTCCGCGATTCCCTCGGCTACGGCTTCTACTTCTGGTCCTACGAACTCACCAAACGCAATTGGACCTCTCCACACGACACAGAAACCACTCAAGCCTTCAAAATCCTAATGTCCGGAGGTTTAGCCGGAGTGGTGACATGGGCGAGTATTTTTCCTTTGGATGTTGTGAAGACGAGGGTTCAGACGTGGGATTTACTATCAGGACCAGGAGCAGAAGGGCAGGGGTTACCAGGTACATGTAGCAGTAAAGATGGATTGGGGAAACGACCGAGTACGTTAGAAATTGCTCGCGCAGCGTATCGAAGCGAAGGAGTACCAGTGTTCTTTCGAGGGTTGGGGATATGTAGTGCCAGAGCGTTTATTGTGAATGCTGTGCAATGGGCGGTTTATGAATGGATGATGAAAGTTTTGACGTCACAGGAAGGAACGGGGGAAGGCCAAAATGATAGAGTTAGATGATGCACGAATTTGAAAAAGAGAAGAGGAGAAGATGTTTTCGGACTGACTTCATTGTATTTCTTCATGCTTGAGTACCGCATCTCCAAAGTAGTTAAGTCGATCCCGTCGACCAAACCCACCTGGAAAGTATGTACATACAATGACATAAGTAGTCCAGTGCTGAAAAAGCAAATTGCATTCCTCGCCCATTTCCCATAGTAGTAGTAGTGGTAAAAGTAAGTACTTTCTGTGCTCGGTGCATCGCATCTGTGCCTGGAAGTCATTCCTCCGAGCTATGATACAGTGTTCCCAAGTCTTTTGCAGAAGACGCTTTTGTAGAGAGGACAAGACCGGTCCTCATTATGCATTGTGGTGGGTCGAAGGCAGTCGTAGTAGTATCGCAGGATGTTACAAGCCGTCCGGTGTGGTCGCAAGAAAGCCAAAAGAAGCAATCGAGTCGTATTCAGCAACTGCTATGTAAGCATTGCGTTCGTCGTCGTAGTATGTAGTATGAGTCGCATTCTGTGTTGATTGGTGTCTCGGTCAAGCTGCTAGATGCTGACGACTTTTTACATCATCTGCTCCTGCATGCTGCCGGATGGCTCAGCGTCCATGGCATTGCTGTCGTTTGGATACTTGGCGAAGTCGAGACCGAGAGGACGTCCACCGTACGAGTAGCCCTGGAACTTCTCAATGGCAGTGCCGGCGTGCTCCTCAGCAGCAAACTGAACAACACCAGATCCACGAGAGCGACCGTTTGGCTCGTATTGAATCTCAGCGCGCACCACTTCACCAATCGTGCTGAAGAGTTCGTTGAGGTCGTCGTTGCTGGTGCTCCATGGCAGCTGTTTCATGTCAGTTCTGGCATCATCTTGAGGGTTGGTGTTGTACTCACATTCTTGACGTGGATGGTGGCACTCTGCTCGCCACCAGAGGAGACGCCGTCAGTGAAGGCATTTGGTGGAACAGAAGCAGCAGCTTGACCACCGCCGAAGTTGCCACCGCCGTATCCTCCACCTCCACCGTAGCCACCGTCGCCTCCTCCCTGGTAACCTCCGCGGCCGCCTCCATAACCTCCACGGCCGTATCCGCCGCCGAAGCCTCCACGACCACCGAATCCTCCTCCATAGCCGCCACCACCGTAGCCGCCGCCGCCGAATCCACCACGGCCTCCGAAGCCACCGCGGCCACCGAAGCCTCCACGGCCGCCAAAGCCTGGTCCACTGCCAGCGTAGCGGTCTTCGCGAACCTCAAGGACACGGCCCTGCCAGTCGTAGCCGTGGAAAGTCTGGATGGCGTTCTGTGCATCGTCTGGGGTCTCGAATGCGACAATGCCGGAGCCCTTTGGGCTACCATCTGGTGCCATGTGGACGTCTGCGCGGATGACATTGCCTGCTTGGCGGAAGAGGTCCTTGAGATCCTGCCAGCCGACCTGGAATGGGAGCTATTGATGTGTCAGTAGAGTGCTGTGGTGGGAATTGCGAGCGACTTACGTTGGAGACGAAAATCTGGCGAGCACCGCCCATGTTTCCGCCCATTCCTCCGCCCGTGCCACCGCCCATGCCGCCTTGGCCGCCCTGGAAGCCACCGCGGCCGCCATAGCCTCCACCCATGCCACCACGTTGTGGCTGGGAGAAGCGTGGTTCGGTCTCACGGTCCTCGCGCACATAGACGAGGCGCCCCATAAGCGGCGTGTTGCTGAGAGTGTTGATCGCAGTCTGAGCCTGATCACGTGTGGCGTATTCGACAATTCTGCAAATTTGGTCAGCAAACACCTTTTCTCTGAAGGATTCTTTTCGAGCTTACCCGCAGCCTTTGCTCATGCCGTTGGGGAGTAGGAGAACGTCGGCGAAAAGGACATCCAGCGTGCCGTCTTTGCGCATGTGGTCCTTCAGATGGTGCCACTTGACGTCGTATGAGAGGTTGCCGACGTAGACACGGCGGTCTTGTTGCGACGACTCGTTGACCTGCTTCATCATATCGCCTTTGGGTGCGCGGTCTTCGTAGTTGCGTGATGGTGGTGCGCGCGCTGAGCCGCGGTCACGCGAGTCGTAGTTGTTACCGTTTGATGGTGGTGGCGAACGGTTACGCCTGTCGCTGCGTCTGTGGTCGCGGTCTTGGGGAGATTGAGAACGCTCGTCGTAGTGGTGAGAGCGTCTATCGCGGCGAGGAGATCGCGAGCGCGAGCGGCGGTCCTGTAATAAAGGCATGTCAGTTCAGTCACACGCAATCACATGCAAATATTGCCTCCAGCGTACGGGTTCGCCATCCTTGATGGCCTTGGCCTTGGCGGCCGCTTCCTTTGCGAGCAGCGCCCGGGCGTGCTCCAAATAGCCACCGATGCCGTCCATGGTGCTATGTTGTGGAGTCGAAGCAGTGAGAGGAAGAATTTCCGGTGAGTTGTGGCCATCCGGGTGAACTTCGGGCCAAGCTATCCGACGTACCATCATTTCGTCCTCCTCGTCCTTCTCCCAGCGCCGCTGGTGAGCTTCTGGCAGGGGTTGTCGCCGCCCTGCCATGGTTGCAGTTGTCTTGTCGAAGCAGGACTATATGAGGATGGAGTTTCAGTGAGTATATCAGGCCGGGTGAGCCTCGGCTGATCCATCCAGCAAAACAAAGCCGGGAGCGTGGAGAAGTCCTTGTACGCAGAAGCGTCCTGCAACGGCCAGGAGTACCATTGACGCATTCACCTCTTCACATGCCTTCACATGCATGGCCTTCCGACTCCTCACCACTGCCAGGGCAAGCAGTCGCCGACTCCTCGCAGCGCTCGTCTACTGATGGAGAGGAGCTCAGTATCAGTCGTAGTGCACAGAAGAGTCCCGCAAAGGCCACGAGTGCCATCGACAAGTTCACCTCTCTGCAGGGCCTTCCGACTATGAACCACCGGCAGGGCAAGGATAAGCCTCATCGCAGCACTCGTTTATCCGTGGACAGAGGAACTTAGCAGCGTTGACGCATTCACCTCGTTACACGGCCTTCCGATGACAAGCCACTACCGGGAGAAGGATTTGCGCTCTGGCAGCGCTTGTTCGCCCGAGAAGAGAAGAGCTGAAAAGCGTTGACGCATCCAGATCGTTGTGCGGCATTCCCACGATAAGCTTGCAGTATGGCGAGGATTCGCCTGTGGAGAGACGAGCTGAGCACCATGCTGAAAGCAAGCCGAAAAATCGCTGGACGGCCTTCCAACTACAAGCCACTATAAGGGAAGGAGCTCGCATCCTCGCAGCGCTCAATAACGCGCGGAGAGAAGAGCTGGAAATCGTGCTGCAAAGCAAGCTGGGCGCTCTGGGAGATCTCTGAGCTTAGCTTTCCATATCTCGAGAGGTCTGAAGAGGAAGCAGATTTCGAAGAGCCGCCATTGTCTTCCAGTGTGAAGGAAGAGCTTGGCATACTCCTTGCTCGACCACTCCAGATGCAGTTGGGATCAACGATAGCGGCCAGCATTACACCACCGCAAAAGTTCATGTAACAGCCAAGAGAGCGAATGACGCAGTCACAGTCATTGACAAACTTCTGTGCAGGAACCATTGCTTTGGCAAGTTCTCGCTTGCTCGCAGCTCCTGTTTGCTCGTAGAGAGAAGAACCAGCCTGACGTTATGAGATGAGGAGAAAGCTTGAAGAGCTCTCAAGGGTTTCAGAGGCGATCCGACACCATAGCGTGAGGAGAGGCAGTTGCTCTCCTGCTCAGTCGACCACTCCGTTCGCTGCGGATTCAATGATGATGCCAACGTTGTCACTCGGCGGCAGAGCGATGAGGGGCAGCGAGATGACCCAGGCAGACGGATAGGCCTACCATTTCCTCCACGAGCGAATCGCTTGACGCTCGGGCATGCGCCGATCACAAGAATTTGCAGCCCCAGCGGTCGTGAAGAGCAGAACGCTAGCTGGCGTGAAGAGGGTGTAGCATGGCCATGCACGAAACCTCTCGGAGCTCGCATAGCAACGGCCCTCCGATTCCGTCGAGACCAGAAGGTCTCTGGGCTGTACCACGAACCCGCTCGCATGGCCATTGATCGCTGCAGATGAAGCAGCAGCCGATCAAATTTGTCAAAGCAAAGTGAGTGTTGAATAACTTGCCCGAGGTAAGCCGACAGGAGTCAAATTGTCCTGTGCATCGGCTAGAGCAAAGAGTGTCACCTGTCCTGTCGACAAGTCTGCGGTACCTTAGACTTTTGTGTTTCCGCCGCGGTTCCATTCCTTAGGAAAGGCTTTGAGCATGAAGATTCGCAACGACATCTGCATGACCTTCGAACGAATACGCCCCGAGGAGGAAGGGCTGCCAATAACTGCGATGAAGAGATTTGGTTCCAGAGACAACTGGCAAGGAGATATCCAGGTCTTGGCCAAGGAACTGCATAACTCTTTCGCGTGCTTCAAGTTTCTGATGAGCCCATTGAATGCCGACTGAGAGTGCTCACGTCTCGATGTGGTGCTCAGGACAGAGACTCTTGTACGCAACCGAGCTCAGTTCATACTTGCGGGATGGTGCCTCCGAGCGATGGGAGACGGGAGGGTCGCAGAAATCTACATTGTGAAGCGGCTCGTCGTGAGATTCCTTTCGGGGTGATTGCGAGTCCAGGTGAATAGGAGTGCTTGCTTGAGTCGAGAAGGAAAGCTGCTCTGGGAGCTGAGTCCGAAAGAGGACCCAATGACTGAACCCAAGGAAGTTGGAGAAGTCATGCTGAGTCCAACGCCGGTAGACTGGATTGGGAACATATTCCAGCCGCTACGAGAGGTATACTGGTCGGGGCATCTATGTCTCCGGTTTCTGGGCTACGACGCGTGACGCGTCTTTAGAGCATCAGGCTTGATGAAGTCCGCTGGTAAAGTGGAGCACGGTCACCATGAGGATAGGTGGTGCTTGCTGTGCCGACACCGTGACCACTGAACAGGGAGGCGGGAGTGCGGCCTTTCCTGGTGTGCCGCTGCTGATCCAAGTGGACCTAAGAATGGAGTCATTGCGAAAGCAAGAAACATTGCCAGGCCGCCACTCGGTACAGTAAGAGTATGTAGGTCGCCATGACCGAGATTCCAGAAGGCGGCCGAGCTCCTTGGCTGACATGTCCAACTCGCAAGGAATAGTGGCGATGTGGAAGAGTTTCGTGCTGAACCTTGGATCCTCGGAATACCATTCGGGCCGCGAATGATAATGTAGGCATCGGAGCGAGTGCAGTTTGCTCCCACGGCTTGAGACATTGGTGGCGCTGTACGAGCTCTGTGCTCCGTGGTGTCGAAAACTCCAATTCGGACGTTGTCGTGGCTGGTACCACTCACGGATCTGATGCTGCCGGTAGTGGAATTGATGGCCGATAATTGGTGCTCTAGACAGGACAAGAACACCGTATGCCATCTTTCGACAGCTCTGGCGAACGTCCGGTGGGGTTCAAGAGTCGCAAGGTACTTCAGACGATTGTCATAATGCCTCCGCTGACAAGCCTCACAGAGACGAGAAGAACATTAATATGGGCTCAGCATATGCTCAACGCGCAAGTCAGGCAATAGTGCCGAGATGCTGAGTTTATGCAAAGATGCGCAGAAGACTGGTGTCAAATGTGTCTTCAAAGAAGACAAGGTATGAGAGGAGCTTGTGGACTCCTTGGGCTATATTCTTTTGATGGCAGCTTGCTGTTATCGAATCATACATGATCCGCCGCGCCGCGCCCTTGGTCTTGTATGCCGTCTGATACTGCCGTCCAGCACTGAAGGTCTCATATCCGCGTACCAGTCATATATCGCGCGCGCGCGTCTTCTCTTATGCCGCATATCTGTTCGATGTTCTTCTTTCTTTGCGTTCCGTCCAGCTCCCAGTATCGCCGCATATATATCTCCGATGATCTCGTGCTCAACGATCACCGAGTCCATCGCGTCCCGGTCAAGTCCATCGTGGTCCAGCTCCAGGAATCCCGGAGTCGTGATGGCGGCACAGCGCCGCACGCTGGAGGCAATATGCTACATGATGACAGAGTCAGAGTTAGTAACTTACCGAGTCACGGTAGTCGCGGTCACCTGGAGGTGCAGGTCTGGTCAGCGAAGGAGGTCTGGGTCTGGCTGCGACGATTACGGCAGCTGACGTGTCGCAGAGTGACAAGCGAAGTCAAATGAAGTGCGACCACCAAGGGTGGAGATGAACAAGGTGAGGGCGAGTAGTGTGAGGTAGGTGGTGAGGCAAGGCGCGAGGGTAGGAGGGGAGGGAGACGACTTACCCATAGTGACGGAAGAGAAATGTCGCAGGTGTGTTCTCAGAAGCGTGTGCCGCCTAGTTTCTGCAGGAAGAGCCTTGTCAGTCTCGGGTCGATTGAGATGCACCAGTGACCAGTCAGAGAGGCAAGGCAGAGTACGGGCGCCGGGCGGCACGCAGCCCATGCTCGAGGGTGAACTAGAGCTGGGAACAGGTATGCGAGGACTCCACCTTTCTCAGCAGCAGCAAGCCAGTGCAGCGCAGGTCAGCGGGCAAAGTCAGCGCTCAGCAGCGGGTGCAGCAGACGCCGCTCGGTGGTGCCAGTGCGCATGTACCTGACGATGCCGATGTGACAATGGCACAGTAGCGTCGTGGTCGAGGCGGAATCGACGTGCTGGCCGGCTGCTGGCTGGCTGGGCAGGACTGCTACGACCGCTGCCCGGTCTGCTGCACGCTGCCTGCCAGTAGAACTAGAGTTCCGTGACGGTCTCGCGGTCGGCCAGCGGATCAGGGAAGGGACAGGAGCCTCACTCACCTCAGCAGAGTTTCACGTGCGCGAGCGTCGCAGCACAGGACAGGACAGGACAGCGCAGCACAGCACAGCACAGCCGATGCAGGAGCGTGTCTTGGGCGTAGGCGGACGGGATGCCGCTGGCTGCAGCGTGGTGATCAGAGTGTCGTGTGAGGGCAAAGGCTCTTTGGCTGGCCGCGAATCAGGCGGCGTCGGGGTGTGCAAATGTGTGTGAACGATGGTAAGTGAGACAAGGGTGGTCGTCGTTAGGTTGTGTCGCTGTTCAGGCAGAGTTCGGGGCAGCAAGCTCGATGCCAAGGAAGTGGATCTGTGGTCGCAGTCTACCGTACGCTGCTACGCCACGGCCATTGGCTGCTCCGAGATGACACGGCCGGCCTCTGCCTCTCATCAGTCACTCGGTGTCGACAACAAGTACTGCTACATAATCACCCTGCCCTGCCCTGCCCTGCCCTGCCCTGCGTTCACTTGAGACAGCAGGCCGCCTGCACCTACCCATACCAGCCGAGGGGGCGTCGCAGCGAGGGAAGTCGCTGCTCGCACGCACAGCAGGTACTACGGAGTACTCCATCAGTGCGGTCGCCTCATGAGGAACAGCGGCAGAGCGACAGTCGAAAGCTGGTCTGCAATGTGGATGATGTGCAGCAGCAGCAGCAGCAGCAGGCCCAACCGTACTGTAGTGTCTGCAGACCAGGCCGTAGAGCTCGCCATCGTGTACACGATACAGACCACCACCACCAACCCAACCCCAACGATGACAATTCCGCTGCAGCGCCGGCCCGGTGATCGACAGTTCTCTGCAATATGCATTCTGCAAACCTACATACCCAGCTGCCGCGGAGGTCGTGGATATTATTAACAGATTGCTGCCGGGACCTTGGTCTCTTCGTCTGCCACATCGAGCTCGTCCTCCGAGCACTCGACGTTGCTTGATTTCGGCTCTTGCTTTTCATGCAAAGTGCCTTCTCGCATCAGACCGGCTGCAATCCTGCGCCGTTCCCTTTGCCCAGCCAACGAATTCTCTGTCGCTGCCGCATTCTCGTCAGCATCACGCCACAAGCGAAATCGGCTACTGTATGTTGTCCATCACGGTGGCTTTCGTGAAAAGCGTGATAAATTCAAGGAATCACTCACGCGGCCACCGCTGTAGGCAGTAGAATAGTGCAACCCCCTCATTCGGCAAGATCATCAGCCTTTCGACAGTTCAGCCCTCCACAGCCTGGCCTGGCTTATTAGTACGACATGCATTCCTTTGCTCTCTTCCCGCAGCTTTTCGTGCTCGTGCACGCTGGGATTGCGCCTCTCCTGCAGGCTGACATTAATTCTCCTAGGAAGTCCGCAGCCGAAAGCACAGTGCGTGTCGGAGCACGTGCCACCGAACATGTCCGTGGCATTGCAAAGCTCTGCTCTCGACGCCATGCCTCGCGTTTAAGAAAGACCACTCCGGCAAGCTCCGTTCTGTGGTTGAATACTGGCAATGAACATGTTCACCTTTAGCTGCTCTCCACACGCTGCAACTTGCAAACTTGGCAAACGCCAAACGAACAGGCTTCAGGCTTCGTGCATCGCGGAAATCTGGCCGTCTGGCGCCTGCACAACTATTACCGATGCTGTGGCATTGGTAAAGCTAGAGATACTAACAGAACACTTGATCCAGGCAACTCGAGTCGATTTCCTCGACTCGGAGCATTAATGCCCTGCAAAATGTGGTCGACTTGCTCTTGTGCAGCATTTCTACTAGGCACAGCATGTTTGCCGAAATTCCTCATCCTTGTACATATCTCCGCATGAAACCTTCCTAGCTTGCGTTCGAAGCCTGAAACGTGATTAAGGACTACCACATCTCTGCAGCTAGTATCATTGTGAGCTTGTTCTCCGATCGCAGAGGAGCAACACATGCTACGCGTGCAACTTCGTGGCCTTTCAGAAGCACAAGGTGTCCAGAGTCATCTCCAAAGAACCCAAGGCAAGGACTCGCAAGCCTGGATCGAATTGAGGCAAGCATTATCAATCAGGTTCTAGACCTTTGGCATACTTCACTTGCGTACCTTTGCCAACATCCTCCGGCGATTACCAATTTTCAGGTCCACGGCACCACGAGCACCTCCTGCACGCCCAATTTCTTGTCATGGCTGACACATGATGTTTCCAGGATCCGGGCTGCTTGAGGTATCGACGGGCCGTGCGGACACTAGCAGTGTTTCCAGCATGGCCTTTGTTGCGGTTAGGAGTCGACTCCGTGGAGGATTCTGTCAGCTGTCTTTGAGGAATGAGACCATTCATTAGGAAGCAGCGAAGCTTAGCGTTAATCTCGTGCAACGACAAGAACATTCATACACCTTCACATTGACGGACTAAGATGTTCACAACTTCAATGATCCTTCCGAATACATCTGAGGCAGCTCAATTCAGAACGTGAAGGCAGGGCGACATCGTGAAAGGCCGCCGGGAGGAAGGGCAGACATCCAACAGAAGTGAATCTGCAATTTGTCTCCCCGAATCTGCCGATACTGTCCCGGGTTTAAAAAATCGCTTGGAATCATGAGTTCACGAAACGGAAGTTGCGAGTGTGTGGTGATGGTCCATCTCTGGTTCAGCCCCTCTGCAAGTAGCAGAGGCAGGTACAAAACGCACCTTCCACCATCGGATCTTGAACTGACTGCACCTGGTCACTACTCCTGGTCTTCGATGAAGACTTCTTCGAGCCGCTAAACCAAATCGAGAAGCATGTGAGAAAGTGATGATAGATCGTGGAAGGTGCGTACGAGGAAGGAAGTCACATCGGGCGTCTGAGAAAGAGGTAGGTGATGATTTCCTTCAAAGCGAGCGTGACACCTGACGAACTAATCCTACAAGGGGAATGGCAGTGACGACGTAGTTGCTGTGCTGCGCTCGCGGTCGTCAAACATTGACACCACAATCCTCAAGCATCGCCAACGAAACGACCAATTCACGTGCATAGCTATGAAGTCTCCATATTCGGGATGGCTCTGCGATGACTCAGTGACCAGTTCGCAGATTCGGCTGGCTGCGAAACGTCCATCCCACTTGACCGAAACTCAGGCCATCCTGGACTATTTCTATAACATGATGTGGCTATCCAAAGTCAAAGACAATCTCAGGCTCTTAGCGGTCGCTCAGCTTCGCAACACACATTCAGATCATGGTATCATATGGCTTCAGTCGCAGTACAAGTCGATCTACAACCAGAACGACAATCGAAGGCCGTAAGTGAAACGGACACCTGATGAAAGCGTTCGAAGACAGCTCTGCTCACTATACCCTGTTTTACAACTAGAAACCTGCAACTCGTCTCGAAAGCATTCCTCGATAACCATGGTTTCTATATCTGGCCTGAACATGCAGCTGCGCGCGGCCATTTGGACCCACCTCAAAGCTCAGACTTATCACAACTGAGTTTTGATTTTTGGAATATGACCAGACGTCGTCCACAGCATCATTCTCAAGGTCCCATCTACGCCACAGACGCGAGAAATCCGGGAAAGGTGAAGAGAGAGGGCACAAAGAGGTATCGTAATGAGACGGAGGAGATCCTGTAAGTGGCATTCATCTGCTTTGCTCGGGACGAGAGATGTACAATTATGGGATGGAGCGAGCACCTCTATTGCTGAGCAGCTGAGCCACTTCAAGAGGATTGCTAATTTTTCTTTACTGACAGACACTCCAAGCTTGGTGAGATTATACAGGAGTACTTCTACGTTCTCCTGGACACGATCGATGCCGCAGATTTGATTGGTGAGCTTCCCGACGAAGCAGAGCTCGAGCGACTTCGGGACCAAGTCATCGGCGGGTGAGATGACTTCACGCCGTTCAGTATGTGGAGGTTGAATGAAGACATCCGTAACGCGGAATTGCAATCCTTCGGCAAAAAACCGAAATGTTCGACGCTACGTTACATGGAATACTGTGTCATTCTTTGGACAGCACAGCATCCGATGCTTGGAAGTATCACACAATCATTGCAATAGCCGTGGTAATTAGTACGAGGAGTTGATCCTGCAGCAGGAACTAAAATCTTCGCACTTCAAGATTTCTGGTTCTTGTCACATTGTACCGCCTCATTGATTGGGAACTTGATTCGCAATCGCCGGTATGGACGATGCAAAGGACAAGGACTTACTAGGTCGCGCAAGTGCAGAGCATACTTCGGTGTCTGGAAGAGGCTGTTGGACGTCGCCGTAAAGTTGGGCCTCGATCGCTACTTCTCACCAGACACTACATCAGGCTGCAGAAGCCTTCAAGTCATGTCCTTCTAGGAGAGAATACCAAATTGGAAACACGACAACACGGCGACAGCCACACCGCGAAGGGGCGATAGGGCGATAGGGCGATACGACCATACGACCATACGACGAAGGCAGGTAACACGACTATAGTACAAGACGCGTTTAAGCACACTGATAGAGCTTAGAATGAGGCGAAAGCTTCGCTCGCACTCCTCTAGGTACGCGCTAGCCGCCTATGAGCACATGTTACAGGTGGCACGGAAGGCTCTACGACAATCGTAAACTTAGGCGACACCGAATTGTGGGACGCTTTGTATCGAGCACTCGCAGAGATCCAGGAAAGCGCAGGCAGCGAATATTGCGTTCGTCGTCCTGGCCCGCTCGGTGCTCGTCGTCGCTCGGTACTCGTCGCTTCTGGAACACGTACGGGAAAAAAATGAAACCGAAATAGGAGATAAGCTTGCCTGGATCTCACCTTTCTTCACAGATCACCTCACATGCTGACCATTGTCATGATAGATGGGCTATAGGTAGCGAAACGGCTGAATGAAGAAGCCAGCCGCTGGAATAGGCAGTGATTGACACCTATAGAACGAAACCAGACGATCGATCGTGAGCGGCTCGCTAGCTGCGTGGTCGTGGCGCTGGCGGTAAGCGACTCGCTGGCTGTGTGGTCGTACTGTTGGTCGTGAGCGGCTCGACTACAGCACATGTTGTGCTCCAAAGTAGACAACGAAAATGCCAAAGACAGGGCCAAATCACGAACCAGAGCCTCTGTAGCTCTCAGCTTTCCTCTTCTCTGCTCCCTGCATGAGCTCCCCATAAGTTATTCCTCCGCGCGTCCTAGCAATACGACCTCCAAATATCATGCCATTCCATATCATTCCATGCCATTCAAGCTGTCTTGACACAGAATCTACTATACACCGGGAGCAAAGCGAAAGCGCGAGCCAGTACTACTTGAGATGTAACTGATGATGTATTCAGAAGAGGGCCAATCTACAGAAAGCCCAAAGATGAAGTGTGCAGTTGCAGCCTTAGGCATCATGTACGTAACAGACCTACACACACGTGCATCAAGTCACCCCCTTATCGCGTACATACGGCCAAACAAAGCAGGCCAAAGGGCCAAAGCAAACAAAGGGGTGTTAGGTGGGTGGAAACAGGCAGTTAAACTGGACAATAGGCATGTCTTCTATCTATTTAATACTTGGTAGTAGGCTGAGCGGCGCTTTTGATAGCGGCCTTGCAGTCTGCCAAATTCAACCACCAAATAAAGCGGCTATACTAGTATACTTAAGCTTATTAAGCGGATTAGTAAAGCTATTAGCGATCCAATTACACATACTAATCTAAGTAATGACAATAGTGCTACTAGCGATCTTCTTGCAGACACAACAAACCCTAGCACCCATATACCCAGTACGGCTATTAACACTCGTAGATTGAGTAACAGCGACAGCCAACTGATTATCTTCGTATAGCGTAATAGGCCCAACAGTGCCCTTATAACCAATCTCTTCCAACAACCGAGCCAGCAAACAAGAGAGCGTTGGTACAGAGAGATTGCAGCTCGACGCGGCAGCGTGCAATTGCGTGCGTACACACATGGACAGCAAGCACTTCGACACACACGCAGACAGCCTGATGAGAACAAACAAGGTGCCGGACAAGACCAAGACCAGGAGAGAGGATGAGGGCAGCGAGAAGTCACAGCAGCCAGTTACTGCCAGAGTACAAGTTCCACGGCGACTGCATTGGCTTGGGAAACTTCAGCGGGATATCAATAATCCTCAAGTCTCCGATTTCGATGTATGCAAGATCCTAAAATACCAGTCAGAACGTGTAGCAGAGGAGCTGCAAGTGCTTGAGGCAAGAATGCGGGACATCAAGTCAAAGCAGGATGTCATCAACAGGCTCTGGTCGTACATGTCGTTCATTGCGAAGGAAGAAGGATGTAGGCAATGTGATGACGTTTCTGGCTGGGCGTTCGTTTGTTGAGCACATAGAAGAGCTTCGCAAGTTGAGGGAAGAGGGTTTCAAGCTGGAGCGTCCGGATGAGCGAGCAGTGTAGGACGAGGACGAGGCGAAGATGCTGAAGTTGAATCCTGCCGTGGGTATAAAGTAGCAGTACCAGAACCAGATTCGTCGTGACCGAAATGGTATGAAATGGTATTGGTGGTGGTGGTAGTGGTTGTAGTGATGTTTCCAACTGAGAAGTGGAAGGCACGGCTACACCCGCAATGTCCGTGCTGCGCAGCGCGTCACCCGCCGCAGCCTCCAAAGCGATCTCCGTCGTTGCATGTGAACATTGCCATCAACCCAACGTGACTTCCTCCAACAACCACTTCCAGCTTCCAGCCTTCAAATCCACCATCAACACCACCTCACCATACATTGCACACCCAGTCGTCAAAATTGCGCGCACATCCCAAATCCACACGCCCAAAAGATGGCGGAAAACGAATGCTCCCAAATCCTCCGCCAGCTACACAGCTTCAAAGACGAACACGATGCCCGAACCCACTCAACCGCGCTCCTCTCACGCGCAAAGCTCGCCCTCCTGAAACTCAACGCCCTCGTCCCCCACGACGAGATTTCCCCCTCACAACTGAACCTCGCCATCAGCGTGCTCGAAACCGGCGCACTCCTCAGCATCCAACTCAAAGACACCGAAGCCTTCACACGCTACTTCCAACAACTACAACCCTTCTACGCCATCCCCGCATCGCGAAGACAGCAAAGTAATGAGGGAAAAGTCACGGGATTGTATTTGTTGCTGCTGTTGAGTGTGGGTGATTATGCGGGCTTTCATACTGTGCTTGAGGGTTTGCAGACGAGTAGTGGGAAGGATCAGATCGAGAAGGATGAGTTTATTCAGTATCCTGTCAGACTGGAACAGGCGCTGATGGAAGGGAGTTATGATAAGGTTTGGGGAGAGACGAAGGCGGAGAGGGTGCCGAGTGCGGAGTTTGCCGTTTTCTCAGAGGTATGGTGTTGAGAGATCACAGGTTTGAGGATTTGTTTACTGACATGGCTGTTGCAGGTCCTCATCGACACCATTCGATCCGAAATTGCATCTTGCTCCGAACGCGCTTACCCTTCTCTCCCCATCTCGAACACGAAGAACCTGCTCTTCCTCGACTCCGAAGGCGCGGTCATCCAATTCGCAAAGGCAAGAGGCTGGGTCGCGAAGGATGGTAGGGTCTACTTCCCACAACAGGAAGCTGATGCATTGGCGGCCGAGAAGGATGTCATGAGCAACAGCGACGTGGTGATTGAGAACACGTTGGGCTATGCGAGGAAGCTGGAGACTATTGTGTAATACTCTGCTCTTGGATGCGGATGAATTTATCTCAAGGAAATATCCACGCCGTCTACGATGGGGATAGCATCGTGGACAAGAAGCGAAGCAGAGCTTGGAAGCGCACTTCCATGAGGCAACTGATCCTCATCCAGACCTCGAAGGAGAACTGGCCTTAATCGCAGACACCCGACCTAGATGGCTTAGCGAGGGCCAAAGGACTAGAGCCAGGAGTATGTACAATTAGAGCGAGTACGTATGGATCAAGAGCATGAATCTCGCTAATGCGGGGCCCATCCTTCCTTCCTCACTTCCTTCTTTCGTCCTTCGCGTGCAAAACCTCATTCTTGGCTGCAGAGAGTACAATATGTAGTAGAGAGCAGGGTTTGAGAACGGCTGAATAATCACATGGATCCTACACAAAATCCCTTCGTCCTACTGACACGGCACTGACTTCTACATGTGTAAAGATGGAATAGTCGATTCTGGCTTTCCTTGCTTTGGACCCGGATATTCTCTAGGGCTCTACGCCACGGTTGAAGAAATTGTGCGCCACTTGTCCAGAATACGATGCCATAAACACCCAAGAAGAGAAGAAGTCTTGCCGTGGATGGAAAAGCATCGAAGCTCTTCCTCTTTGTTACAGCTGCAAAGATAGTCTGATGGTCATCGATATCTGATGCATCTTTCCCCCATCCCCTGTCCACCCAAGCCCACGAAGCCAACCAGAACATACCCAATCAGGATACTTTCAATTCTCGAACTCCCAACTTCGCCTTCCCGAAGTCGAGATATGCCTCAGCTCATGTTCCTGTATGACTCCTCCCGTCAAGCTGTCTTCGCTTCTCATGATGGGCCCGGATATCCTTCAACTTTTCAGCCGACCATGGACCATCATCATGAATATGCAGACATCTATCGTCCATATAACCGAACATGCTGCGAGTCCGAGGTTGCTGCCACTCGTACTTCTCAATAAGACGATCCTGAAGGGCGGCTGCTGTGATGACTTCTGCACTTGATCGTCTCCAGGTAGAGTCAGATTGGAGGAAGAGGCGGAAGTCCAGGCCGGAACCTGGAATACAGATCGCTAGACACTTTTCGGCAATATCCTCAAACGTCAAGCCACCGTCGTTGTGAATGTGTCTGGTCTCGAAGCGTCCTTTGTCTCGAAGATGGAGGGGAGAAGGCGCGGCACGCGGCATTCATCTTGGCGGTCTTTTGAACGAGCGCAAGTGAATCTTCCTCTTCTCAGTCACCACTACTACTCCTAGTCCTCACATGTGTCATCAAACTCGGTGGACTTCCCCACTCATGCGTCCTCGTACTCCCCGGTGTGCCTGGCCTTCTCCTCTCTACCGGACTCCAATGTCTCTTCAACGCATCCCCAATAACCTCATCCTCATCGGCTTCCCCGGGCGTCTTCATCCCACCATCATCCTCCACAATCCTCACTCCAGCAGCCCTCATCTTCTCCCTCTCCGCATTCTCCTTTGCACCTTCCTGTTTCCTCCTCTCAGACTCGGCCACAAGATTTTTGAAATAAACTTCCGCAGCAACAGTCTGGCTGTATGCGAGCGGTGTCCAGTCGTAATTGTTTTTCGCGAGAGGATTTGCGCCTGCTGCGAGGAGGATGCGGAGGGCTTTTAAACTGCCTGATGCGGAAGCGTGGTGGAGAGGTGTGTTACCGTCGAGGTCTCTACCATGTGGATTCGCAGGGAAGTCGGAGTCTTGGAGTAAGATGGGTATGAGGGCTGTGGAGTTCGGATGTTGAGCTGCCATTGCTAGAGCATCTAGTCCTGCTTTATCGCTGTAGGGAATGCATCTTGGGAACGTCTTGGCCAGGACAGTTCCGACTTCCACATGGCCATTCTTCGCGGCTAACATCAAAGGCGTGTCATGGTCTGAGTTGCGACTGATTTCGTGCTCGTCATGTCCATAGCGTATGAGCAGTCCGGCGATCTCGGTGAAGCCATGAGAGGCTGCTATGTGTAGACTCGTGTTGCTTTTGTCGGCGAAGTCGGGGTTTTGGAGAAGCTTTGGATTATTGCGTACAATACGTTCGACTAATAAGACATCGTTAAGGAGAATTGCACGCCGCAGGCGCGTCGATCGGTCAATCCTGTGATGTTGTGAGCACTCATGATCTTTGGTGGAATTGTTGGATTGAGATTGAACCCTGACGCGTACATTTTCTCGTGTCGTTAATTCATGGCGATCGTACAAGGTACCTGAGTCCTGCTCAAGGTTGCACAGCCTCCGTGTTCGAAGTGGAGGTGTTCGTGAAGTGGAAGTCAGCAACGTCGATGGGAAGTGAAGTTCACAGTACTGTACGTGGGGCAAGCTTCAAGTTGGCTGCGCTCATCTCGAAGCATTTCATGAACTTCACATAACCGCTGAAAGCCATACTTTGATCGAGATGTTGATAAAATATTGAAGCCACTTTTTTTCAGAGTGGGCTGGCTATAGCACACAGACATCTTATGTACAGTACATATCGCTATACGTGGTCGGCCTTCGACCAGGACATATCGTATATTCGCTGGAATACTCCACAACGCCGCGCTCGCCGCAACACCTTCTGTGGGTGCACGAATGCTCTCATTCGATTGAGTGTATGATCGCCCAAGTTCGTCTCTATTTTCTACGTTTCATAACTTTTGAGCACATATCGATAAGACCGACTTTGGCCTCGCTGTCTGGGAAGCTGGAGATCGCTCTCGCTGCCTTGTCAACGTAGTCTTGTGCAAGAGCTCGTGTCTGCTCTATGCCATCACTCTGTATGACCATATCTCGCGCCTGTTCAACGTCAGCTGAAACATAAGACCACTGCAGCTGGAGGTCAAAACTTACCCTTTGAACATCACCCTCCTGTGAGAACTTACGGCCTACAAAGGCTCCGAGCTCCGGGTTATCCTTCCAGGCGAAAAGGAGAGGTGCAGTAGCAAGACCAAGTTCCAGATCAGCACCTGCTGGCTTACCCAGCTCTGACCCGCTCACGGTATAGTCGAGCATGTCATCTACCAGCTGAAACGCAAGACCGAGGTTCTTGCCGTACTGGTAGGCTGCCTCAACAACCTCCGCCGGATGCTCGCCTAGCAGAGCAGCAGCTCGGCATGATTTGCTGATCAAACTTGCCGACTTCAAGTACGTCTTCTGCAAGTAGTAGGTGATAGTATCCTCACTCCACGATGGATTGCGCTCGTCCAATGCTGTGTTCTTCAACTGCATGAATTCCCCCTCCACAAGGTTCGCAATGACTGTCGCAAGTAGCTCCGTCACTTCTGGGTCACGTAGTCGTGCCAATGCCACAGACGCTCTTCCCAAGAGAAAATCGCCTGCCAAGACTGCCATCTTATTACCAAATTCAATGTTTGCAGATGTGTTCCCTCGCCGCGATTCGGAGTGATCGATCACGTCGTCGTGTAGTAAGGAGGCCGTGTGAATGAGCTCGGTGATTTCTGCTAATCGTCGTTGAGTTGGCAGGACGGAGCTATCGCTTGCGGCCTCTTGAACGCTCGCAGCGCAAAGCGGTGAAGTATCGGGATTGACATCATTGAGCACTGAAGATGACGATATAGGTGTATCGATTGTACCTTGGACACTGCTGTTCGTTCGCCGTCGTTTCGGCAGTAAAGAGGTTGCTTGCGACATGAGTAGCACAAGCATTGGCCGGACATATTTTCCCTCGGATTGTGTGTAGTACTTTGACACTGTGTCCAACATTGGATGTCCCGAGCCTAGCAACTGCTGTATATTCCCCGTCATAAACTTCATCTCTTTCGCAACACTCCTCAATGGATCAATGCTCAGTGGTCCTGCTGGTGGCGGGCCATTGAATATTTGCTTCGCTGCTGTTACCGCAGCAGCAACAGCAGACTGTTCCCTCTTCGGCGAATCATTGTACGTTTTCCGTTTGGTGTTGTGAAAGCCACGAGATAAGATTGGTCGAAAGCATTCAGGACAACATGGTGGGAAGGATTGAGGTTTTGCTGTGAAGGTCCCAACAAAAGCACGCGAGGGTGCTATCGGCCGAGGCATAAATCGTGTTCGAGTTCAATCGGGATGTGGCTCAATCGCAGCAGAGGCAAGGAAACAGCAATTTGAACTTTTGAGTATGGTAAGAAATGAAGGTCGGGCGTCGCTCGCAATCATCAGTGAGAGTCGAAAAGGTGCTCCAGAGAGCGGAGTCCATGACACTGGGCCCAGATCCGAATGCGAAACCTTAATTTCTATCCTGTTCTTTCCGAACAAGCACCCGTGATGCCACCATGCCACCATCCTCTGTCACGGCACTGTCTCTCAAGCAAAGTCGGAACGCCGTCAACTGTCGAGGACTTACAAACTGTGGGGCATGGTCCTTCTCACCATCACGGCTCCTGCCAAAGCCGCTATAGATGACTTTTGCAGGCTGAAGTTATCCTCAACCCGCGGAGACGAGTGCGATGAAGAACGCGTCGAGGAGCTCTCCAAAGCCGAGATAGGTAGCCCGATAGAGCATCAAGAGCTCATTGACGTATCAAAATATCTCGTTTCCCATGGTCGGTGTGATGGTAGGATTGCAAAGGAATGGCGTCTGGACACGCTGCTCAGGGGCGCGTGTGTCTACAGACCTCCGCCACCACCCAAGCCAGAGCCAGTAAGCCTGTAACCCCAAACCCTTGACTCGATGGTGGTATTGATAGCCCGGCAGACATCAGAATACAAAGCGTTGATGCAACGGCTTCGTAAGCTAGAAGAGCAACGCGAGTACGAGCGCATGATCAATCCTGCCCCGAAGCTGGAGACATTCAGCCAGCGCTTTCCGAAGGCTACACATAGCTTCGGACCGAGTTACAACACCGCTGACGAGCTTGACGAAGTCACGTACTCTGATGTCAATCGGCAGATGATTCTCATAATCAATGTACTCATTTCCATCGTCTGCACGAGCGTAGCCGTGTGGATGGCAGCTCGTCGCTGGAACGTGGTACCACGTATGTTACTGGCTTTCGTCAGTAGTGCTGTAGTTGCTGTCGCAGAAGTCGCCATTTACATGGGCTATATCAAACGGATTGGCGATGCTAAGACCAAAGAGCGCAAGGCGATCGAGAAGAAGGAAATCGTCGATACATGGGTCATTGATGGCAGGTCAACAGCTCAGCACACGAAAATCTCTGACTCTGTACGATTCAGAAAAGGCAAGCATAGGTAGGCGCTTGCAAAACGACTCCGCCTCTCACTGCCTTGCCTTGCCGTGAAAGCTCAGAAATCACGCTCAAACGCGGCTTTCACGCGATTGGCGGGACGGGGCGCAAATTCCACACCGACCACTGGGCACAGAAGACGCGACCGAACAGAAAGTCATCGACATCACAACCACATTGTGCCAGGCGAGATGGCGCCCAAGGACTTCCACCATCCCTTCCAGCCTTACGACATCCAACAGCAATTCATGGAAGCGGTGTATGACTGCATCGAGCACAAGCAGGTCGGAATTTTCGAGTCACCCACTGGAACTGGCAAGTCACTGAGTCTGATATGTGGCGCCCTTACCTGGTTGAGAGAACACAAGCGGAAGACTTTCGACGAGGCTCTAGCTACGGTAGAAGTGGATGACGATGAGCCAGACTGGATGACGCAACACGCTCGTGAAGCACGAAGCCGAGAAATCAGGCAGATGAGAGGAGATCTCGAGGCACGCTTGTCTGCAGTTCGCGAACGTGAGCGAAAGATCAAGGAGCGCGCTGCGACGGAGGAGCGTCCTTTCAAAAGGCAGAAACCAGCGAAAACTGACATCGAGGATATGGCGGAGGAGGAGCAATTTGTACTCGAAGAATATGAAAGCGACGATGAGATCAAGTCTGCTGGCAATGCTCAATACTCAGCCGAGACGACTAAGCTTATGGAGAAACTCGGGTTGCTACCGAAGTCTGGTGAGAGCCAAGCGAAGGAGGAGGAGCTAGAGGAGCTCAAAGTCTTCTTCTGCTCCAGAACTCATTCGCAACTATCACAATTCATTGGCGAGCTGAAACGGGTATCATTACCACCGGGTCTTCCTCCCGAAGACAACACTGGAGAGCAGTCATCCAAACTTACAGAAGAACTCAAGCACTTGACCTTAGGTTCACGCAAGAATCTTTGCATCAATCCTAAAGTCAATAAGCTGGCCGGCCTGACTGCCATCAACGAGCGATGCATTGAGCTTCAGCAGTCAAACAGGGCGGGCGATAAGAAGTGCTCGTTCTTGCCTACCAAAGATCAACAGGATGTGGTACTTGACTTCCGAGATCACGCCCTGTCCAGAATCCGTGACATTGAAGATCTCGCAAAGCTTGGATCCAAGCTGGAACTATGTCCATACTATGCCTCACGCGCCGGAATTGGCCCTGCTGAGATGGTGACCCTGCCATACCCACTTCTACTGCAGAAGTCTGCACGTGAAGCCCTCGGAATCTCGCTGAAAGGTCATGTGGTTGTGATTGATGAAGCCCACAATCTCATGAACGCAGTGGAAGGGATTCACTCCGCTCGCATCACCGAGAATCAGCTCAGACGCGCCAAAGAGGGCCTAATCACCTACCTCCAAAAGTTCCGCAATCGGCTGAAAGGAAGTAATCGGACATATGTCACTCAGGTCGTCAGAGTTATCGACTCTCTACTCAGCTTCGTGGCCAGTGTGAAGGATCACAACATGTCTGGCAATGTAACCAGTCCGAGCGCTCTCCTCGCGGGCAAGGCTGTAGATCAGATCAATTTGAGCAAGCTTTCCCGCTATATTGACGAGAGTAAGTTGGCACGGAAGGTTGAAGGCTATATCGCGTTCGTTGCCCAGTCTGACACCGCCATCAAGAAAGAGCCCTCTACCATTCATCACGCAGCAGCCGATGTGCCGACTCTCATGCATCTCCAGAGCTTCTTGCTCTGCCTCATGAATCCGTCAAAGGAAGGCAGATTTCTGTGGTCCAAGGAAAGCGGCAACGTCGAGGTGCAGTACTTGCTTCTTAACGGATCAGAACACTTTCGGGGAATCGTCGAAGATGCCAGAGCCGTCATCCTAGCAGGAGGCACAATGTCTCCAATGGAAGAGTACAAGCAGGAATTATTCCCATACCTGACGAACGAGATCAAAACCTTCTCATGCGGCCACCTCATCCCGCCTGGCAATCTCTTCGTCCGCGCCATCTCCGCCGACAGCCAAGGACGACTAGACTTCAGCTTCAAATCACGAAACGACACCACCGCCATGCGTCTCGGCCAAGCTCTGATCAAAATCGCCTCCAAAGTGCAAGGCGGCATGGTCGTTTTCTTCCCAAGTTACAGCTACCTCGAAACCGTCCTCCGAACCTGGACCTCCCAACCCCTCATCCCACCCCTCTCATCCCTCAAACCCCTCTTCTCCGACAGCCGCTCCGTCTCCGCAGAAGAAACTTTCCGCTCCTTCACCTCAGCAATCCACACCAACCCTTCTCGCGGCGCTTTGCTTTTCTCTGTCATCGGCGGCAAACTCTCCGAAGGCATAAATTTCTCCGACGATCTCGGTCGCTGCGTTGTCGTCGTCGGCTTACCTTATCCTAATTTACAAGCTCCGGATTTAAAAGCAAAAATGGAATACCTGGGTGCGAGAGGTGGAGAGTATGCGGAAAATTTATGTATGAGAAGTGTCAATCAGGCGATTGGGAGGGTCATTCGTCACAAAGGTGATTGGGCTTCAATTCTGCTTTTTGATGCGAGGTTTGAGGATTTGCGGATCAAAAAGAAATTGCCCGGGTGGATTAGGGAGTGTATGGTAGCGGGGAGTGGTGGGAGGGTGGAGGATGTTGTGGGAGATGGGGAGGGAGGGTTGGGGGAGTTTTTTTATGGGAAGATGAAGAAGTGAGTGACTCAGGCCCTGAATACTTCGCTCGTCTTATTGTATAAGACAACCGTCTTATCTATAAGACAGGACCTACTTTATAAGACGCGTTAAATACTAATAAGTCAGCGGTTTATTATAAGACAGCTTAACTTATCTATAAGTCGTCTTTTATACGCTTATCTTGCGAAAGCTAGTATATAGCTATACTAGTTAGCTTTTATAAGACGATTATATGCCTTGTTGCCTTGTTTCTAGCAGTAGAGCCCCTAATTTAACTATCTCTTGCCCCTATTCTCGTGTTCTTACTCTTACTATATAGTAGTAGTAGTATAGTAGATACTATATTCGGCTATAGACGACGACTTAATCGAGGATATAGCTATTATTGCGGCTATATTCGTAGTACTATAAGCGCTCTGTATTCTTCTTAATAGTAAAGCGAAGGCGCCGAAGTATCGACTAGGTAGTATAATAACGACTCTTATAGCGCTAGAATTAGGTAGATAGTAGACGAAGATAATACTATATAGACTAGAAGAATACTACTATACGACGACGAGGCTCCGATAGCCTATTCTTCGAGCGTTAATTAATACCTTAGTAGAAGATTATAGACTTGCTAGAGAGCGTAGAATTAGTCTAGCGGAATAGGTAGTTATATTCCTTAATATAGCGGCTTACTATATAACTAACAACTGCTTACGGACTATCTATTAGCACTTACTATTATTAGGGCTAAAGAGGCTACACGTAATTAGCATATAACCAGGTTAAGTAAAGCTAGGGTCTTAGTGCCTTAGGCAGGGCTTAGCGCTTAGTAATAGGCTAACTTGCCTGCCTTCCTCCCTCTCCTCCTAGCTCCTTATCGAATACTACTCGTACCTACTACTACCCTATCTACCTGCTAATATAACCCTTCTTATATAGTATTCGATCTACCCTTTAAGGGCAGCAGCTAGATAGTCCTTATTTTAAGCTTTTAGCGGTATAGCTACAAACAAGACTAATCTAACTATATTGCGCCCGAAGAACGGGACCTATACGTACTATTCTATCGAAACAACCGTACCAATTATTAAGCAAGGCCTTCTATACGGCCTATTACACTAAGTTAATCTTACTAGACTAATATCTACTAATTCCGCTATATTCGTATCTTAGGGGCTAACAATATATTATTAGTATTACCCTCTATTATAATAGCTAGCTTATTACAAAACAACAACCGTGCTGCCGCTAGTAGCGCTAGCAACGACAACGCTAGTAGTATAGTGCCTGCTAAAGTGCCTGCTAAAGCGCCTACTAAAGTGCCTCCTACTAAGGTGCCTACTAAAGAGCCTACTAGAGGGCCTGCTAAAGAACTTATAATCGAAGGGGATGACCTATCGTTGCCCGTTAACGATATTCTTAACAACATTGTTAATCGACGATATAGCTAGCTAGCCTTTAGTCCTTAGCTAGTAGCGAGGCTTTAAGAAGCTACCTAAAACAGGCTTACTGCCTTACGTTAAGAACAACAGCTAAAGGATAATCTTCTCGAGATTCGCCGCCTCTAGGAATCTCTAACAACTACTGCTAAGCTAATAGCAGGACCTTCTTTACTACCTATCTAAAAGAAGGATGCTAAACTTAAGGACTATACCGTATTTAATAGCTCTAGTCGAAAGCAGTATAACGACTACATTCGTAACTGTAAACTTAACTAGCGCAACGTACTAAGAGCGCTACTAGACGACTATTCCTTAGTCGTATATGCTATGTAGTATATTAATAGCGACCTAAAGCGTACATAGGATAACTATTTTAACTCTCTTAACGATTAGACTGCTGTTTAGTAGCAGACCTACAAAACTATTATACTAGATACCCTTAGAAACCCTATACTAAGGCAACAATATGCTTAGGACCTATATCTTCGAGCTAAATAGAAGACTAATCAATCGGCTCGCTTATTCGAGGCCTATTTAAAAACCCTTAAAGACGACCTTCCGCCTAAGACTAATTCTATATAGATCTCCGAGATACGCCTAAAACTTAGATAGGAGCTTATCCTCGAATTAGACCGTCGCCGTGTATTCGAACAAGCTAATCTAATACGTATTCAATTTATAGTCGAAGTAGAAACAGCCGAACGAGCTATTTAGCTCTAATAACGACTAGAATTAAGGATCCGACTAACTAGCACTAACCGTAGCAACCGTAGCCGCGGAGGAAACTAAGGTTCCTACTAGGACAATAATACTAATAGTAGGAACAGTAACAACGACCGTAGGAGAGGCCGTAGCTAGCGGCTATATAGAGGAGGCCGTAATAGGGGTCGTAGAAGGGGCTCGTATCCCTATAGTACTAACCGCTTAACTAATAATAATAGCTATAGTAGTCTACTAACCGGGTTGAAGTGCTTTAATTGTAATAGCACTAGCTATCTACTAGGCTAATGCGACAAACCTAAGGACTAGGCCCGAATTAATCGTGCTTCCGCTAAACACCGAAAGCACCTCTTAGCGGCTAACGCTACCCCTATAGGCTAACCTTCGAAAAAAGAGTAAGCGCCGCACTAACTATTAGCCTCGTACGGCGTAAGACTATCGACATTATGCTAGCTATAACACGCTCCTGCCTTATATAGGATACGAAGGGCACTACCTATTAAACTAAGGTTATACTAGATCTAGGAAATTCAGTTAGTGCCCTTATTAGCTATCGCCTAGCTAAGTAATTAGACCTTCGACAACTGCCGAAGACTAACCTACTAACCCTTACTTAGTTTAATAACGCTCGGCACTTGACCTATAGGGCCTACTATATTCCTATAGCTCTAAAGGACGACCTCGGAAATAAACGCCTACTAGACTTTACTGCCTATATAGTAGATATAGACAACCTATATAGGGGAGCTACTATTGTTATTAGCAACCCTGTTCTTAAGTACTACGCCGTAGCTATAGACCTAGGCCTCTAGAAGTAGCGATTTGGAATCGCTAAGAAAGAGGACATTAAACATATTAATGTTAGCGAGTGCCCTAACGATATTAGGGTCCTGTTTATTAGCAACCTAACACCCGCCTTAGCTAATCCGACTGCCGACCTGCTCGGTAGTAATAACGATAAATCTATGCCCCCTAATAATCCTAATTAGCTTGCTCGTATACTAGAGCCTATCCGAGAGACCTATATTAATGTATTTAAATACTACCTAGTATCGACATTGCCTATGTTTAAGGAGACGGATTATAAGATTAATATTATAGAGGGCAAGGAGGTTCCTTTTAGCCCCCTCTATAACCTTAGTAAGCGAGAGCTTACTGTGTTGCGTAAGTACCTAGAGGAAAACCTAGCTAATAGTCGAATTCGGTATAGTAACAGCCCTGCTAGTGCACCTATCCTGTTCGTACTAAAGAAGGATAGTAGCCTACGCCTATATGTCGACTATCGTAGACTTAACGCTGTTACTATTAAAGACCGCTGTCTACTCCCCCTTATTAATAAGACCCTCGATCGCCTTTCTAGGGCTTACTACTATACTATACTAGACATTAAGGATACGTACTATCGTATCCGCATTCGTAAGGGTAACGAATAGAAAACAGCCTTCCGTACTCGCTATAGCTATTTCGAATACTTAGTTATGCTATTTGGCCTAGCTAATGCCCCTATAACATTCTAGTCCTATATTAATCGAGCCCTTTTAGGCCTATTAGACTATCTCTATATAGTTTACCTAGATAATATCCTAGTTTATATACATTTACCTAATATTATAGAACACTAGGCCGTAGTACGTAAGGTCCTCGACCGCCTACGAGCCTATAGACTATATTGCAAACCTTCTAAATACACCTTTGCTACTAAGGAAGTGTCCTTCCTTAGCTTCCTCGTATTAACTAAGGGTGTTAAGGCTAATCCTAATCGGATCAAAACTATTACTAAATAGCCTGTTCCTACGTTAATTAAGGAACTGTAGTCGTTCCTCGGCTTCGCTAATTTCTATCGTCGCTTTATTAAGAGCTATTTATAGTATATAATGCCCCTAACTAAGCTTACTAAAACTAAGGCTAACCTAACTAGAGAGTTCAAATAGACTAATAGAGTATAAGCCGCTTTTAACGGCCTAAAGCAACGCTTTACTAATGTCCCCTTATTGTACTATTTCGTGCTAAGCAAGCAGATCCGAATTAAGACTAACGCTTTATAGTTCGCTATATCGGCTATTATATTATAGCAATTAGATAATAACTATTACTAGCACCCGATTGCCTTCTTTTTACGAAAGATAATCGATATAGAACGTCGATATAAGACCTACGAGCAAGAGCTCTTAGCAATCGTAGAAGCCTTTAAGCATTAGCGCTACTATCTCGATAGTGCTTAGCACACAATTCAGGTCTATACAGACTATAACAACCTCCGTAGCATTACTAAGGTTACTAGGGTTATAGGTCGATAGGCTAGATAGGCCGTCTACCTCGCCGGGTTTGATTTTAATATATTATACTAGCTAGGCGTAAGTAACCTTGCCGATAGCCTATCGAGGCGACCTAATTACGATAGCGAGACCTAATATATTAATTCTTTGTTTCTAACCCTATAGTATAAGATTGCTATAGCCCGTGTTATTAATAAGCAAGCGTAGGATAAGCGGACTTCCGGACCCCGCGGCGGCAACAAATACTATAGCGGAGTTGTCGTTCTTCTAGTATACGTTAAAAGAAAGGACGTAGATCGCTCGAGCTATAATAACTCGATTAAAGACATTACTATCTATAGTAATAGCCTATATAGCGATAGCACTATAGAAGAGGTTATAGTAGTTCCGGCTGCTAGTACTATTAGATGTATATAATGCGTACCTCGTTTAATAGCGAGGGTGCTATTAAATAACCTTGTAAATAGGGATAGTTAATCGTTTATAGATAAGCTATTGCGTGCTTAGTAGAGGGACG